ACTGCATCTCTAGAAATGAGCTAAGTCTATCAGGAAGAGCAGGAAAGAGACTGTCAAACACAGAGCATGGCTGCAAAAGCTTTTGCCTTGGGAAAAAGAAGCAGATTAGGAAAGAAAATGGGATTAAAGGAAGAGACAGCATGATAAGGAAGTAAAATTTTAGGGAGGAGAGATTATGGTTAATTTTCATGCATAATGAAAAGCTGTTGCTTTAGCTGGGCCCCGATTTGGCTCCTTCTTGCAGTGCCTGCCCTGAGGGTTAGATGACTGGTGGAGCCTACTGGCATTTCGCAGGGGCTTCAGATGTTTTTACTACCAGAATCAGTACATCTACTTAAGTGGCTTTGGAATTTTTCCTTGAGGTTTTACTCCTTTTTGTTCACGTTTTATCCAGCCCATTTAGACCAAATAAAAAACGACCATTGGGTCACAGCATCCTGTGATCTGTTCTAACCAGCAGCTCCATGTGGGGTTCATGCTCAGTGATCCCAGTGTAGGGTTGCAGCTCTGAGAGAACCTGCCTGGATGAGCACTCTAAATGTGGCTCTAAAGCCAGGGCTTTAAGACAGAATGACTGTTTACATCTCTCTGCAACCCTGTGTAGAGAAAGGGGGATAGAGATATTGCTACTAAGCTGGGTAAGCTCTGAGTGCAGGGCTCTGGGGGAAACTAACAAGCAGCCTCTTACTTCAATTAGTTCTTGCTCTGCAGCTTTGCCTCCCCTTCAAAAGCCAGTAATTTCATACTGCAGGCAAGTAGCAGGTCTGCAGTCTACAGAAACAAACCAGGCTTTGGCTTCCCACAGCTCACCACCTCAGAGGTTATCAGGGGCTATCTTCTTCAGTGATCCCTTGGTTGCCTCAATCTCAAATCCCATAAGCTCTGCAAGCATAGTTTCCAAAGTAGCTAAACCTGAAGGCAGGTTTAGCCCGTGCGTGTGTGTGCACGTGTGTGCCTGTAAAGACAGACAATCAATTGTTCGATGTGGATAAAACTATTGATTTTTTTTTTTTCTGTTCAATTCTCCTCTATGTGCAGAGGTTCCTATTCAGTCTAAGATTTGAGAAGCAGGTTTACAATGACAGTGCTTCTGCATTGTTTTTTTGTTCAGCAACTACAAACCTCTGGAGACTTTGCAGTGCACCAGGATGGAGGAGGGAGAGTCACACTTCAGCAGGCAGTCTTTGCTAACCTTTTTTGATATTTTACCGTGGCTTAATACAGCAGAGACCTGACATACATTCAAATTGCCATGTACTGAAGAATGGAGAAATGATAGCAGAAAAAAATTTTCTGTGTGTCCTTCTGGATTTCAAACTACATAGTAGTGCTTTCGGAGAGTCAGATCACCTTGTGAAGTAGGTTTTGTTTTTTTTTTTTTTCTTCCTGTTTCACTTCACTGATATGCTTCACACCCCTTGTGTGTAAAAACGGTGGCTTTTGCTTATACACATCAATTTTGCCACCGTTGCCACTCCCCTGTGTGTTCCCCAATACAGTATTGAATGTATTAGGAACAAGAGGTCTGATCACAGAAAAGGATGCTTGTTTAAACCACTGGCGCGACATATTCACATATCTGACCTTGTCAAGGTCAGAAGAAATGTGCAGGTTTCACATACACACACTCAGATGTGAAATCCTGTTAAATTAGGCCCCGAGAGGGAGAACACCTGAGGCAGTTCAAAGACCAAGGTGGTAAGCTGCAGATCCCTAGAAGTTATTAACACCAGGCAAAGAGACCTGAGAGCAAAACTACAAGGGAATCAATCAAAATAAGGTTAAGTAAGAGAAGGGGAAAGAAGAAATAGATACCGAGGAAATTGGCTGCATATTGGCTGCGTTTGAAACTAGAGGAGAATGGAAGATTTGGCCTTTCTTCCCAGACAAAATGTGAAAGATAAGAAGTCAAAGAATCAGGAGAAAAGGAGTGGGGAAAGCAGACATGCTGAGTGCTGACTAATGGGCAGCATTTCATTAAGTGCTGGCAGAGGCCACAGAGACTGTTGGAAGGTGGTGTGCTCCTTTCTCATGGGACACACCAAATTTTTGCCTTACCTGCTTTTTACTTGTTGCCTTAGTAAAGAAAAGCCCTGAGGTATGCCAGAGAGATTAACAATATCACCTGGCTGCTTTAAATGTTGGTTGCAAAGAGGCTCACCAAAACATGTTCCTACTGGTTGAGGAACCAGTGCTAGGTACACCTGGTGAAGACAAGGCTTGGTTGGCTTTCTGTCAGCCGATTTCTCAGCTGATTTGGAACAATGCCTCTAGTGAGGGCTCTGCACAGAACCTTAAATCCCTTCTTCTTCCTCAAGACACAGAGAGGTAAGTTTGCTTGAGTGGCAATACATTGCTCCTGCAAGGAGTGATGCAAATTCATCTCCCACATGGACGAGCTGCACTGTGTTCTAAAATGCTTGCTGGCCCTGATGAAACTACAGTCTCTCGAATCACAGGAATTGCACTTTACTGCACTTTTCTGACACCCTGACATGAACCTTTAACCTTCTATAGGCTATTTAAGTCAGTCAGTGCCCCTTGACACAAATTGATGCACACAACACTGGTTTGCGTGCTTAAAACCTGGGGAGCATAAAAACATTTCCTTTGAATTCTCATGAAACCACCAGCTCTCACAGGGCGTAAATGTGTTATGCACAACAGAGTAGGTTATACTCGAACACTTGTAAAATGGCCCCAGAACTGCAGGGCAGTGATTGTGAGTATATTATGCTGTAATTATGCTCAAAGACTCATAGACTTAGTCAGATTTAAAGTCTTGTGCAGCACTCAGGATTTTCTCTATATTTGATCCCTGCAGCTAAGTGCAATAGCAATGGACTTGAAAGCGTGTTGCTGCAGCAACTTGCCAAATGATGATGGTACTCAGTAAATGCCCAGAGATAAGTCCTGGGGAATGTGAATCACATGGCAGCAAGTGTATCTAGGTCTATAAATGATGGAGAAAGTTGCAGTGTTTTGGGGAATTTCCACCTTATTCCTGCAAGGGAAACTAATATTTGTCCATGAAAGCAAAAGACAGATGTTTCTTAGATGCTGTTTCGTGATTTATAAACACTGCCCACACTAGGGTGCTTTATATTTGTTAGTGAATCTTTCTTATTTTCTGCCTGAAGAGTCTCACTCGCTAGTTCAAGGTTTAAAGGAGAGCAGAAAATCCCCATGAAAAGCAACAAATACAGCTTTTCTGAACATACAAATAATGTAACTCTAAAGCACGTTACCTAAAGCCAATTTTAAGCTTGAACACAATGGCCAAAAGTTTCCTTTTTCCCTTTCCTACTGATCCAAAGCCTTGCATGTTCTCTCTGAATTTCGTTGCACTGCCCATAGTGAGCTGCAGTTAACTACTGAATAGTAATTTTCATGGGCCTTGAGAGTCATGCTTCTGGAAAGAAACAAGTGAACAGCATCTGCAAAAATGCAATTTCTTCTTAACATAATGGCTTTGGATCTTCTTAGGAAATGAAAACAGAATTAGTCTGAGTAGGAGCATAATGTGTAAAGAGTGACCAGAAAAAGCACTTAGGAAGCCTAAAGGTATCACGGTGCTCAGAGATCTATTACCCAATCTTCCATGTAAATAGCAAGAACCCACAGGACAAAAGGCTCCTTGATTTTTTCCCTGTGCTTGGAGGCCCTAGGAAAGGCCAAAAGGAATTTGAAGTTACACAAAGCTTTTATCCCAAACCCACACTCACACATGCCTCTCACATCAGGACAACTTTGCCTCGTGACAGCTGCTGCAAAGTATGGAGAGCTGGCCAGCAAAAGCTGGCAGTAAAACCACAGACTGACAAACCCCAGCCAGAAAACATTTTTAAAAGCATGGTACAATATATTTGGCCTGCCTTTACACAAAACAGGTAACACCTTGTGCTGAGGCAAAAGGCCCAGCAGGAAAAACACTCTGGAGTCACTTGTAGTGTCACATCAACACACACAGCTGTGGGTGAGGGCTGCAAACTGTGGCAGTGCAGCTTCGTCCCGGGACTGACTCCAGCCAGCCAAGTCCAGGTGTAAATGTGAGTGCAGCCTTGGGGCACTGCACTTGTGGGATCAGGGAAAACGTGCCACTCACAGGTAATGCTAAGGGCTTGTCACTTATGCCGCAGAAACACCTACCACACCTTGCTGGTGGAATGGTGGGCCACACAAGAACTGTCCCGGTAGAGATGAGAAGCAGTTTTGTTCGGAAGAGTGAAATTCCGAGGCTATCATCCTAAACCCATGAGCAATAGCGAGACCAGTATAAACTAGTTCACTTTGCAGAGTGCCTTCGGTTTCTTCTTTCAGAAAACTAAACCTTTAAAACTTATTTCTCCCCACTCGTTTGCCATGACCCACCTGCTCCAGTTTGTTTCCATTCCAGTGGAAAGACCGAAAGGTTATCACTATTCACTTGTATTGAGAGATGTGTGCGTGTGTGGAGAGGAAAGGTTCTGCTTTGCCAAACACCTGCAACAGTCCCCGGCTTGGACTCCTTCCTCACCTGCCATGCTTTTCTTGTGGCAACATTACATAAAGTCTCCCTTCACCTCCCGCTCCAGCGGCTCCTTCTGCGCTGGGGAACGCGGGGCCGGGTCGCGGGGTGGGATGGTGGGGTGTGGCGCGGGAGGTGGGTCGCAGGGGTAGGACACGGGGTGGGGTGCGGAGCGCAGGGGTGGGACGGAGAGTGGGACGCGGTGGGGGAGCGAGATGCAGGACGCGGGTCTGAGATGCAGGATGAGGGACGCGGGTCTGAGATGCAGGATGAGGGATGCGGGACCGGGACGCGGGATGCCGGTTCGGGATCCGCCGCTCGCGGCTGAGGGGGCGGCGCACAGGGCCCCACTTCCGGCCCGGTGTTTGCCGCCTCTCGCTTGAGAAGGGGCGGGGTCGCCGCTGGCCAATAGCGAAGCTCGCGGGCGCTCGCGGTGGCCGCTGGTTGGTCGCGCGGGCCGGGGGCGGGGCTCAGCGGCAGGGCCGGACCGCCGGCGGGGCCGCCCCGCAGAGCCGGCGCAGCGGCGCCCGGGACGGGTCGGGGCTGGTGCCGGTTCCGCCGCCGGGTCTGTACCAGGATGCGGCTGCGCTCGGGGGTGTTCGCCTCCTCCTGCCTCCTCGTGCAGGCCCTGGGTGTCGCGCTGTTCCTTCGCGGCTTCTTCCCGGTGCCCGTCAGGTCTCTGCCCCGCAGAGAGGCCCGTGCGGACTCTCCCGCCGAGCCGGCCCCGCCCGGCCCAGGTAACGCGAGCAGCCGCCCAGCGCGCCCTCTCCCTCGGTGCCGCGGGACACCTTTCTGGAGACGCCTTCGTGCTTCCAGAACTGCTTCCGGAGTAGTTTAGAACTTAGCTGGTTTCCATGTAGTTGTCGATTACTGCCAGCAGCATCTGCTCACTGTGGCAAAAAGCCTCCATCGTCAGCTGTCACGTCTCTGAAGGGTTTTCCTGTCCTTTTATTCCCCGTTCCCTGACGCTGATGTTGCCGTCATACCCCTCCTGTTTAATGGCAAGCTGTTTGCATTAAATGATGCCGTCTCAGTTCAAACACCTGAGTGCTTGCTCTGCTAACTCGCTCGTTGTGTTGTGCCCAAGAACCATCGTGCCTGTGATGCTTCTGTGTTGTGTGAGCGTCTTAACCCCACCTCGTTGGGATTTTAGCACCTCAGTAGCCACAAAGTGACTGTAGCAATGCAGGTTGCAACGTGCAGAGTATTGCTGTCCATTACCATTTCTGTGAAATCACCCCCTTTACAGGTCCTGCTCTATTCTGTAGCTGAATTGGCGACACCAAAGTTTTCAAGTGTCTTTATAATGAGGAGTCAGTAGAGGACATGTTGATAATATAACTTTCTTACATGTTCAGTCTCAAGTTGCATTAAAGTAATGTGAAGAAGAGGACTTTGTACTTGAAGGAGTGTTCTTCACCAGTGTTTGGAGCTTGTAGGGTGAAACTTCAGGTTCAGTGGGCAGCTGAATGGAATAGGAGTTATTTTGCTCCTTGCAAGCTCTTGCTTGGGACATCTACTTAGTAACTTTGTGGAATAGGACTGTACCTGCCAAACTGGGTCTTCAGCTGCTTGTTATTTGTTATTATTCTTTCAAAGTGTGTGACTTTTTTTTTTACAGAACCACAGTATGTTCTGAGTTGGGAGGGACCCACAAGGATCAAGTCATTACTTGAATTGTGAGATGCAGTGGAGGGAAGAGAAGGTTGTGCAATTTAGAATGTGATGTGCTGATACCAATTAAGCAGGAACAACGAAAGAATTTAATCTGGTAACAGACCTGAGTGGATTTTGTGGATGGCAGGTTGCTTTCTAACTGGAGTTTACCAAGACTGCCAGAGATGTTTGATAGGCTGCTGTGAGTGAAATGTTGCATTCACATGTGATTATTGGCTGGAGCCTAATGCAGGGGGAGACTGCTTGGGTGGGATGGAGATGTGAGATAACTGGGTTTTGAAAGGACTGGTTTGTGCTGAAGAGTGTTAGTGTGCACCACAGGGCTCTACAGGCAGTTTAAATTTAGGCGTGTCACTAGTAATCCCAGGTGTAGTAGGCAAAAATGGAGTGACAGTGGAAGAACACTTTCTTTCTGTAGTTCTTGAGTTATGATTTGCTTCCACAGTGATCTCTTGGTCTGGACGATAAGCTCTAAAGGCAAGGTGTTGCTTGCTAAACACATGATGCAGAAGGCTTTCAACCTACTTTAGGTCTATTCAGGAAAGATTATTTCCCCAGTGCCTCTGTATTTCCTGCATGTTTCCTTTGTGAGTCCTGACTGCCATTGACTCCACGCTGTCTTGCCTGTGGGATGGCTGTAATAGTGAATCCTTGCAGCACATCATTGTAGGAAGTTTTTGATAGAGAACCTGTGGTTTTCTTCACTCCTTGCAGAAGTTCAGCTTCATTTAAAGTAACTGTTCTCTAAGTAAGTAACACTAAATAATCATGCCACATACCAAGACTTGCACCATGTGTCGTTTTCACTATCTTACAATAAGTATTTTCAGATGGCTTGTGACTCAGAATTCATTTGAACTTCTCAATACTTTGACTTACTGATGAATTACACTGCAGGAGGAACTTAGGAGTAGGATATATGTGTTTAAGATCTGATCATTTTTGGTGTCCAGGAAGCTTTCTTTCACTAAGCAAGTGGATAGGAGTAAATTACGAGAAAGATTTTACCGACAGTACATCCAGTGATGCCTTCTTGTTTTTCATGGAGAGCCAAAGCATGCCTTTTAGTTGATAATTCAGGTCCTGTTAAACCAAAATTATCAGTTTAATTAGGGTTGCTGGTAGTTAGCATTTTATTGTTTTTGAGATTTCCTTCTTCCCCCTGCTGTGCCCTCCTCCACAATTTTCTGATCTGGAAAAATCATTAGCAGTAACGAGTCTGTGAATATCAGTTTATTGATGATTATCTATGTACTCCAAAATACAGTTTCTGAGGGTTTTTTTGCTTTTTGGGGTTTTTTTTTGAGTTTCTTGTGTTAGACACACCACTATCTGTGACCTTTCCAAATTGTCAACCGCTTATGCAGAAACAAACTTTATTCTAAAGGAGTGTAAAAACCCTAGCTTTATATAATACATGTACTGAGTAAACACAATCTTGTCTGAGTAGAGGTCTGTGGGTAGGATGCATTCTGCTTGCATTTTGCCCTTCTGTGTGTTTTCCTGGTAAAGAAATGAGACTTGTAGAGGGTGAACCAAGAGCTTAATGTCACCATGTGGACCAAGCTCAATGCACATCAAGAGTTGCTGCAACCAGAATTAAGTCTGTGCAAGAGAAGGGTGGCCCTGAAGGCATGACATTGCCTACTGCTTGATGCACAGCAGCATTTTGCTGTGCCCACCCTTGTACCAGATTCTGGGAATTCTAGAATTGGATTTTGGCCCTGCAGCTGCCATCATCGAACTAGCCTGGCATACAGTCTTCTACCTTGAAGGGAGCAAGTGTGCAGAGATCTTTTACCTTCAAGTTTCAGTGAAATTGTCTATTTCTTTGTAATTTTCCTGCTATCTCATATTTCTTTGTAATTTTCCTGTTATCTTATGGTGAGATTTGATTAAGAGGCATTGCTTGTGTTCTGATGTGCAAAATTGTGCGTTAGTACAAGTGAATGCAGCATCTTTTTTCTAACAAAAGTCTGTCAGATATATGCAGTTCAGCTTTAATGAATTAACAAGAGAGAAAGTAGCAGCTACCCCTTCTTATTGCTTTGAACATTCTCCATTTCAAAGCTTTTCCTCAGTTTTCCCGATTTCACATCACACATTCCGTTCACATTTTGTTTTACTTCCTAGATGCTGTGTTGGAGTTACAGTTGTGTTATTCCTGTGCTGGATGGCCTAAAAACCCAGCATCCTCTGAATTACTTCTCACACTGGCTGTTGTTTGCAATTTCTCATTTCCAAATGTAAAAATAATAAAGGAGTTGAAAGCACTCATTTCTGTTGTGAAGTTGTCCTTTTAACTTCTGTCTAGTCTTTGGTAAAATTTGTTGATGACTTCTGTGTACCCTGTTTTTGTTGCTTAGGAATGGTTTCTAACTGGACCAAGATTCCTGCACCGCTTTTCAATAAAGTTGTCATTGTTCTGATAGATGCTTTGAGAGATGACTTTGTGTTTGGATCCAAAGGGAAACAGTTCATGCCATATACTACACAAGTTGTTGAAAAAGGGACTTCCTACAGCTTCATTGCTGAAGCAAAGCCACCTACTGTGACTATGCCTAGAATTAAGGTAAATTTTTTTTTTTCCCATTTCATTTGAGAAAGTTTTGGAGTGTTTGTTTTGTATGCTTGGAGTTGGCATAAAGGACAGGTTTGTTGTGTTAGTGCAATCTGTGGCTGAATCTCTCTTTGCTGTAGGAGTGCATGTGATAGAGTCCTGATTTGCCATCGCCCAGAGGTTAAGGCCCTAGTGCATAATCTCTTTATTTGCAGTCATGGGAAAGCCAGCAGCCTCTCAGTTGTCAAGTCTTCCACTGTTCTTCTATCCAAGAACATTTTTATTGGTATTTCTCTGTGTTCTTGTAACTTGGATAGAAAATCCAGTTTACTCTTAAATTGTTTTGTCATAAGGATGTTTTTGAAGAGCTTAAAAAGGAAACTGTGCGAAGTTCCATGTAACTAAAAGATTAATTGTGGCGGTATCATCAAAATACTTGATCATCCAGGCTTGTCAGTGATGGATCTGAGTGACACCTCTTCATTGAAGAAACTGGGGGAGTGATCTTTGTAGGTCAACTAGAAGGCCAGTGAGAGAGTGAGGGGGAGACAGTCTGGTAACTATTCATAGGTGGACTTCATTTCATTTCCTAGATGTTTCTTATTTAGTGTTTCAAATGTACTATCATTGTGAATGCTGAGTCAGTTTACTTGGACCTTCTAAACTATCTTTTTGGTGATTTAATGATTAGTAAATGAAACAAATTTTGACTAAGTCATACAAAGCCATTTTGCTGTCCACTAGTTAAGACAATATTATTTTTACCTTTTGTAAAGCAATCATTATCTCTCACATCAACTAGCACTGTATTGTGGCAGGTGAGGTTATGTGTCAGGGCAGCCTGTGTTCTTTTACTTTGTTATGTTTCTTTACTTAAAGTATAATTTGCCTGCCATCTGGTTGATTGCTTCCTCCTGCTTACACTGCTACTGTCTTCTCATCCCTGGAAGCTTCTTGGTTAATGTTGTCTCTTTTCTTGTTTCATGTAGGCTTTGATGACAGGTAGCATACCTGGTTTCATTGATGTTGTTGTGAACCTCAATTCTCCAGCTCTGTTAGATGACAATCTGATATGGCAGGCAAAAGCAGCTGGGAAGAGAATAATCTTTTATGGTGATGATACATGGGTTAAATTGTTCCCAAAGCACTTCATGGAATATGATGGAACTACATCGTTTTTTGTGTCAGACTTTACAGAGGTGAGAGGCTTTGTATGATCCCAAGGTAAATAAAGTGAATTCAAACACACGGTGGCAACTTCTAAGAGTGAATGAGTAAAGCTATCCTAGTTCTGAAATACGCACCTGGCAATTAAATAGAAATTGGATTTACACGTGTGGTTGGTATGGGCACTGTGGAGCTAAGCATTTCAGTCCCTCATGCATATGCTGTGAGAAGTGTTTGGATGATGCAGTTACTGTATAACTTTCCTAAATGTACGATTTTCTTACAAAACTTCTTGTGGTAGGAAGTTAGACCAGTTGCTTTGTTTAAAAATTCCACTATCCACGTTTCCAGTTTGCTGTCGTATTTATATTAGTTAATGTTGTCCTTAAGTGGCCAATTAATAGATTATCTTGGTCTTCTAGAGGCATACTTTTGTAGTGTTGCATCACTTTTGTAATTGCAATAGGAGTAGTGTTTCATTATGTTATCAAAGAAGGAGCATAGAAAGTAAATGAAACAAATTGTGAAAATTCTTACTCTGGACACACTAGAAGAATAAATGCTTTGGCAATTTTAGTTCATTCTTGAACCTTTATGGTTTGTTAAACCTCAGGCTGTCGACCCACTGCTACTGACGTATTTTATTAACATGTGTGAGGCAGTTAGAAAGGTCTAAATGGATTGGAAGACACTTTTAACTGGTTACACTAGTAAGACTTGCAAAAGCTTCAACATACAGTGGAAAAATGCAAGTATGCTGCTGGATCTGTGATTTTGTGACTCTCAAGCTCTTTAGGCAGTCTTTATCTATCTGAATATAGTCCCTTAAACACACAGCTTTTTATAGATTTTTTTGGTAGTTATATCCAGAGTCAGCAAAGTGATGTTGCATGTGAAATATTATAAGGATTTTTAATATCCAGGGAGAAGATATGCAACTAAAAATGCATTGTCAACCTAAGCAGGAAAACAGGTAAGTTAGGCTCCAAATAGCACTTTTTAAATAATTTTACTTTCTCACTGTGTTGCCAGTTCTTTCACTCGCAGCAAGTACAATCTTTTTGTGTTTGCCTAGCAAAAACTGAGTTGAAAAAGCAAGTGTGGGTTTTTTGCCCTCCTGTGATTCCAAGCACTAAACAGAGGCTTTTCCCTGTGCCTACAATACTTTATGTACTTGATAATTTGTGAAGTGAGAGATCAGGAGTGTGAAGGATGAAAGTGGTTTAAGTTTCTGTGGAAGCTTGGCAAGCTGTTTGCCTTGTTTGTGTGTAATCAGATGCATCGTGACCAGAAACAAGTAATTGGGGTGAAGAATCTCTTTTGTAAGAGAAATATATTTGACTGCCTGACATTGAACTAATTGGTCTGATTTTTTTTCTCTCATTAACATCGTGAGTGACTGTAATTCTCATCAACTTCTGCAGAATTTTCATGGGTAGTGTGATCTAATTTTGCCATGTTTTTTACAAGAGAGAAGTTATTTTTACCTTTTAATTGTTTTCCTTTTCTTTGAGGTTGATGACAATGTTACCAGGCATTTGGATAGAGTGTTAAAGAGAGAAGACTGGGATATCCTAATACTACATTACCTGGGATTGGACCATATTGGACATATTAGTGGGCCAAACAGCCCATTAGTGGGACCAAAACTTCGTGAAATGGATAACATACTGAAGAAGATTCATATTTCTCTTCTTTCAAAGGTAATATAGCTTCCTCTTGGATCAGTGTCTTGTTAGTTGTGGACTGACATTAAAATGCTCGCTGGTTGTGGATGGTAGCTCGTTTATTCCTGGACTGAAGTGGGTATTCTTCAGTTCTTTTCCTTCCCTTCCCAGGACATTCCCCAGTTAACAGTACAGTGTAGCGTTTTTAAGGATTTACTGGCTGACTTTAGTAACATCTGTTAAGAGCCTCCTCTGAGCAGCTGTGGGAAATAACTCCCTCTTGGTGTGCACCGAGAGGAATGCATGCCAAAATTCTCTTATCCCTCATGAATTAGGGCAGTGGTTGGTGTGCTTTCTAGTAATGAAATTCAGCGGGAGGAGTAATGGGCATGTAAAGCTAATGGCTCTAATGTCTGCAGTTATGAAGGTATACCTAATTCTTAGATATTTGAAAAATTCAAATGGAAACGGTGGTTGTAAACTACATTTTGTCTTATGCTAAATGCAGCACATCTGAACCTGTTTTTAGGTTTGGATATACAGGTTGTCAATTACCTAAACATCCGTGTCTGGATGTTGAACTACCAAGTCCTAATTCCAAGTGGCCTAATTCCAAGAAGCATTTTTCTTGTTTGTTTTTGGCCACTGCAATTCAGAACAGCTGCTCACAAAATTTCAGTAGTACTTTTAGACAAATGGATATGTTGTATGAAAGGACAGATTAAATCCTGTGTGTGGAAGCTTCATGAATGTCGTAGTGGTTTTGCTACAGTTTTTTAGTATGTTTGCTTTTGTCAACAGAAAGCCTTTATCTCCGTTTTAGAATACAGGAATAATAAAGGCACTTTACTTTTTGGGTAGAACAGGTACTGATAATAACTAGAGATGACAAAAAATGACTTTGTTGCGGATTGACTGTTTATTTTCTGCCATCTTTGATTTGTTAGCTCAAAATTCTTGGACAGGCCTCACTTACTCTTCTGTTGTTCTCTTTATTCAGAAACATACGCACTGTTTAACATCAGTCATGATCCCAAAAACACTTGAGACACTAGAGAGTATTAGAAATAGGATTATTTTTTCATATTAAATTGATATGATTTTACCATTTGCAATATTAATAATTCAGCATGTATACTAAAAACTCAATGAAGGTGAAGAAAAGAAGTGGGAAATACTTCTCTGTTAATGCTACTGTTCCTGGGCTCCTGATTTTCTTCCCTCAGTGTGATAGCCTTTATTTAATCTTTTGGTGAGTTTCTTGAGACTGTAAATTAAGGGGTTTTTAAAGTTTGGGATTTTTTTTGTTGAGTTTTTTTCCTAATATATTGACAAGTCTGTTAGTAAGTATGTGCCTTAACTTCTAAAAACTACTATTACCACACAACATTTAGCTGCAGACATCTCTTGTTATCTGCCCCAGGTGTTGTGAGCAAGCTTAAAAAAATTAAATTCACTTTGAGACATAGTCATGTTTGAAAATGATAGTGAAGTGATATATACGACTTGTATTAGTAAAATAACTTACATTTTTTTCTGTGATTTGCAGGAAGAAGCTTCTTTACCCAATTTGCTAGTTGTGTGTGGGGATCACGGGATGTCTGAAACGGGTAGTCATGGTGGTTCTTCAGAAGGAGAAGTGCACACACCTCTTCTGTTTATCAGCTCTGCTTTTGAAAAGAGAAGTGGTAAGGATCAAAGAACTTTTTCGGAACTGTCTTGGTTTCCGATGGAATAGTGTTAATTTTCTTCTTAGTAGCTGGTACAGGGCTGTGTTTTGGATTCAGTATGAGAATAACGTTGATAACACACTGATATTTTAGTGCTTACTCTGAATCAAGGACTTTCCTGTTTTCCCATGCTCTGGCAGGGAGCAGGTGCAAAAGAAGCCATGAGGGAGCATAGCTAGGACAGCTGACCTGAACTGGCCAAAGGGATATTCTGAGCCGTGGAGCATCATGGCCAGTATATAAACTGGGGGCTGCCAATCTCTACTTGGGAAGGGCCTGGACATCAGTCAGCAGGTGGGGAGCAATTTTATTGTGCATCATTTCTTTCTCTTGGGTTTGATTCCTCTCCCTCTCTCCTTTTCATTGCTACTATTATTATAATATTTTATTTGTTTCAATTATTAAGCTGTTCTTATCTTTAACCCAGGAGGTTTACCTTTTCTTTCTGATTGTCCTCCCACCCAGGGTGGGGGCATGAGTGAGTGTGCTGTTGTGTGGTACTTGGTGTAAGGCTCCAGTGGATACCAGTGCATAGTGCACCCTAATAGTCTGAGAATACTACTACCATATATGACTGTAACAGTAACAACAACAATTAGGTGTAGATTATAATAATTATTATTGTAATGAAAAGGAGAGAGGGAGAGGTATAAAGCCCAAGAGAAACGAGTAATGCACAGTGCAATTGCTCTCCATCTGCTGATAGGTGCACAGCCTGTCCCCAGGAAGCAATGGACAGCCCCCAGTCAACTCCCTCCAGTTTGTGTACTGGGGAAGATGCTCTGTGGTATGAACTATTCCTTTGTCCAGTCCAGGTCAGCTGGCCCAGTTGTGTTCCCTTCCAGCTTCTTGTGTACCTGCTCACTGGCAGAGCACAGGAAATGGAAAAATCCTTGACTAAGGGTAAGGCTTACCAACAGCTGAAAGAGTGTATGATCAACATTATTCTCATATTGAATCCAAAACACAGCCCTGTACCAGATACTAGGAAGAAAATTAACTCTATCCCAGCTGAAACCAGGCCATGGACTCATTGGCAACTCTGATTTATACTTGCTCTAGAATTCTTCCTGAAAAGTACTTTGTTTTTTTCTACAGCTATCTGACCAGGCCCATTCTATGTGACCCAAAGCTCTGGTTTTAGCCAAAGCTAGCATCTGTATCATGATAAAACCATGAGTTAAACTTTGTAACCATTGAGAGAATTGTGTATTTTTTGGATGATAACTTTCTACAGTGCTGCCTTAGCTGAATGTTGAGAGCTAACAATATCTGTTGTCAAGATCCTGGGCTACTGGTAAATGAATAGGTTTAGAAGCAAAATCCTATTTGAAGTTAGTTTTGTCTTTCATTTTCCAGAATATTTCCTTGGCCTCCATTCTTCCTTCTCAGCTAGGACAGAGAAATGAATTAGTTTCTCACACTGAGAGTTAACAGGCAGGAGGAAGAATTGCTCTGTGAAGGGGTGAGAGGTGACAGCAGTGAAAACACGACTATTGATGGCTAAGCCTTAAGGAAAGAATATGGAGCATGAGTGTATTTACTGTATTGGCCAAGTAGTTAATTTTATATCATTGATGTGAGTTGGTATGTTTCTGAAACTGATTTTCTACTTGTAGATAATAATGAAAGATAAAAGTAAGATAGCTTAAGGTAAGAGGCAAGAAGGAAATTGAGTGCTAGAGAATCTTTAGTCTAATTTCTGTAGTAGTGCTTAAAGAAACTCCTTGACTGAGTGAATTGGTGAAATGTGAAGTGATATTCACCAGAAGTTAATATTTTCTCTCACAATGCTTTCTTCTGCCTTTCATTCTGCCTCTTGCTCATTTCCATCTGATTTCTTTGCTTTTAAAGCCTGTTTGAAGAACCTTTGTTTGTTTATCTTGCTGGAGGTTCCTGCAGCACAGTAAAGTACATTTTTCTGTCTGTCATTTATAAGGCTGTTATTCAACTGCAATAGAAAGCATTGCTTGAGGACTCATTGAACTCTTCTTGGGTCTAAAAACAAAACAAAGTCAAGAGTAGACCAAAGCTCTTGGATAAGCTCTTGCTTTATGAATTTCACCGGTATGTGTTGACTGCCAGGCCATGAGAGTGTAGATTCTGCCATGAGAGTACAATCTCCTGTTCATTGGGATTGCTTTCTGTTAGGTTTAAACTAAACATGCTGTTTTTATAATACAGTGAAATATATCTCTTCACCTGTCTTTTGGGATAGAGTTTGTGATTTCGAATGATGCCTTTGTAAATATCCATCAGTTTACTTCTCATTGGTACAATAATTAGGATTCTAGTGACTGCTCCTTATGATCCTACTGTAAACAAAATGTACTGTGGTTAATTTGGTAGACCTCAAAATAGTAATCCTGTGGGCTTTTTGCATTTAGTATGCTGTCAGAATATTACTCGTGTAGCCTTCTACAGAGATGCGTCACCCATGATTGGCTAAATGCAGTTGGTAGTTTGGCTTTTTTTTTAACCAGTTAAGTACTTGCCTTTAAAGATAAAATCTGAAAACTGCTGACATACAGGCACTCATGCAAAGACGCTTTACGGATTATAGATGGCATTCTGTACAAATATGGGATTAATCGGAGCTAGATAGATGAGAAATGAGAGAAGTTCTAATGCTCTTAAAGGGAGCCTTGAGAGTAATAAAGACTATATAGAATTCTTTCTGTACTGTGCTTAAGTTAAAACACTCAGTGCCTGGAGTTACAAGGAGGACAAAACAAAAGCGTAATAGAAAAGCAGTGCTACGTAACTAGTTCAACATGCAAAGGAACAATTGGCACAGCAATCTTAAACAAAAGGTTACTTATGTTAATGAAATCATTCACATGTACCAATGTCTGTGGGACTGAAGGTTAATCCTGATAACTGCAGTGAGTTAATGGGATCCTGCACAGAACCCTTTAAAAATGACTGAGTATGCCTGCATGCAGCTACAGATTTTGAGCCTCAGCATTCTTTACCTGATCTCTAATTCTGTTTGCCTAGCAACCTGATATTAATTGAATCTTGAGCTGTTGTCATTATATTGAGAAGCTTCTAGAATGCTGTCAACATTATTTTAGATTCTCATTCTTTGCTCATGCATTAAATTAATCTCCTGTAGTGTTTCCTGCTATTTCTAATGTAAAAGTTATGAAACCCTCTTAGGATGTGGGCTGCAACTTGATGTTAAGGTGATCTCCTGGACCATCTGTTTTCTTACTTGCATAACATTCATGTTGTGTTTACAGTAGTTGTTAGCACTGAAGAGTGATACTGGCTGAGAATTTAATAAATTTTGGATTTACAGCAGCAGAGGACAGCAGCTGAAAAAGATCAGTCAGCTCTCTGTAGACCACTTGAAATAGCTGAGCTAACAGCAATGAAAAAATTTTGAAACTAATAAGGTGCCAGCTGTCTCTGGAGAAATAGAATGGGCCTTTTATTGAAATACCTCTCTCATTTTTTTTTCCCCCCTGTACTTTTCTTTTGTTGATTCTAGGTCCTCTAACCCAGCCTGAACGTGTGCAACAAACAGATTTAGCCAGCACACTGGCAGTAGGTCTTGGTCTGCCAATTTCAAGAAATAGTGTTGGGAACCTTATACTGCCAGTTGTTGGAGGCAAGACAATGAGAGAACAACTACGTTTTGTGCACTTGAATGGGTTCCAGCTTAGCAGGTTGCTGCAAGAGAATACACCTGCATATGAAAAAGGTAAATCAGCTATAAAAAAATGTTACATAGATACTGAAAGAAGATTTTTAATTAAACAGTTTGGACTTTCAGATTCAAGAGTATAGCATGATGCTGCAAAGTAGCTGTTCATTTGAGAGCAATATTCAGAGAAATGATACTGAGTTCAATCTTTACTGTAACTTACTTTGATATACTGCCCCTGAATACAGCTTTTTTAATGACCAGTAATACTCCTAGTAGGCAAAAGAGCAGAAATAATGATGAAGGACTATGATTAAAGGAAAACTGCCAGTGTGGTTAAATCTCAGTGGTTTCATAACTGCTCTTTGTGAGGTGTCCTACATAGGGCACTTACTCTGAGCTATTTGGAGAATTAGCACAGCGGAGTGAATTTTCTAGTTTAAATAAAAAGATTCTTCAAGTAAAACTTGGAAATAGTTTAGGGTAAGTTATCTTTTTATTTCATTTTTAGGTACAAGTTTATTTGGAGTGAGAACCTAGAGAACTGCAGAGTTGCTTATTAAAAATACATGCTTGTGTGTTTGGAGGAAAGAGTAAAAAACAAGTGGAAAAAATAACCCCGATCTAGCAAAATGTAGTATTTCGTTAAGAAGCACGATACAAACTGCAATATAAATAAGGAAGTTAATATGATAATTATGTGAAAAAGTTGAGTCAGAGGATGAAGGAGAATATTTTACCACAGACCTTAGAAGATGTTGTTATAAAGTGGCTGTGAAGCTTGTCACTTGATTTATAATCTATTGAATCATTAAAATAACCAGATGAGAATGCAGAGCTGTGTTGCAGCTATGAATAATTAAAATGGATAGCAACGTAAATTTTAGCAAGATGATCATTGTGGGTCAAGAATCAATTATCTTTCAACAACACAGCTTCTAGTTGTAACTAAACCCTGTCCAGGAACTGAACCAAAACTGCCGCTTGTGGTAGCAATGTGTCAATAGCAGGACCCATGCTCCAGCTACTTTGATATTTTATTTTTTTTTTTTTTTGCACAGATTTCCTCTCTTAACCCATTTGTCAAGTGAGGAACTTGCCCTGTTGGGGGAGTTCAGGATATGGCTGTGTTGCTGAAATTTTTATCACAAAACTCCATCTGATGGTATTTCTTCACACACTGGTGAAACAGACTGAAGTTTCTACCAGCTTCTGGTTTATATCTTCACAAATAGTCTTGTTTTTGTTAGGGTGTTCTGGGTGGGCAAGACTGTTGCTTAATAATTTGGTCTGTATGATTAAGATTGGCAGGGAAAAGTTATGTGCTGTTTGTTTAATGTTGTTTGATTGATGTGGATACTTCAGGCCGTAGAAATATTAAAGAAAAGGTCACTAACTCAGTGACTAATATATGTAATTTAAAAGCGTGCATGAATGGCCTTTTGTTTTGCATGGTTTTTAAGTGAAGATGAATGCCATCCCACCTATCCCACTACAGGCACACACACATGTATGCATATCTGTTGTGATTCCTGTAGAAAGAGTTATCTTGGGGAGAAGTGATTATATTCTGTAATCTGATTCGTGTTTGAGAAGATTGCCCTGTTTTTAAAAAAGGTTAAAAAGGAGGACTCTGGGAACTACTTAGCAGTAAGCCTCATCTCTGTCCCTGGTAAGGTCATGAAACAGATCCTCCTGGAAGACATGTCAAAATACATGGAAGACAAGAAGGTTGTTAGAGACAGCCGACACTGCTTTGCTAAGGACAGATTGGGCCTGACTTAATTTAGTGTCCTGTGATGGGATAAATGCATCAGTGGACTAGAGAAAAGCTATGTTTGTTATCTACCTAGACTTCTATAGGGCCTCCCTCAACATTTCTGCTGCTATTGTTAGAGTGATACAGGTTTGACAGGTGGACTTTTTAATGAATAAGAACTTGGATCCATGACCATGTCTGTAAAGTCAGTGGCCCAGAGTCCAGTGGCTCAGGAAACCAGTAATGAGTGGTGATTTAGTGAAAGATGTCTGTTTTCACAGTGCTAGGGGGGAACTAGATGATCTTTAAAGGTACCTACCCTTTCAGCCTGAAGCATTCTATGAGATTGTAAGTTGGGAAGCTGAAGAGGGAGAGTTGCCCTTTGTGTGAGAGAGGCATGGAGCTCTGGGAGTGGATGTCGAAATGGTTGAGAACTTCTGGGTCAGGATTAATGCACAAACCAATATGGGCAATGTTGTTATGGGTGTCTAATACTGACATTGTGATTGGGAAGAATGAGTAAGTTTTCAGACAGCTAGAGGAAGCCTCATATTCATCATCCATGGTGCTCATATGGTGCTTCAGCCATCCTGTTGCAGTTCAGGCTAGATAACTGGACAGTGTGGCTCAGCTGCTGGGCTCATGTGATTGTTATCAGCAGCACAAAGTCCACACAGGCCAGTACTATTTAACATCTTCATTAATGACCTGGGTGATGGGACAGTGCACCCTCAGCAAGGGGAGGACACAGTACAAAACTGGGAGAAGTGCTTGATGCAGTAGGTGGGTCTGCTGTCACTCAGAGGTACCTTGACAGGCTGGAGAAATGGTCTGACAGGAACCTCTTAAAGTTCAGCAAAGGGAAATGCCAAATCCTACACTTGGAAAGAAATAATCCCATGCATCAGTACCGATTAGGTATTGACTGACTGGAAAACAGCTTGGTGGTGAACCACCAAGGGGTCCTTGGGGCACCAAGCTGAACACCAGCCAGCAATGCACCCTTGTGGAAGGAAGGCTGATAGCATCCAAGGCTGAATTAGGACAGTCATCTGCAGGTCAATCCTTCCTCCTCTCAGCTGTGAGGAGCCCCCATCTGGGGTCCTGTGTCTGGTTCTGGGCTCCCCAGAACAAGAAATAGTGAGAGCAGTGAATGACGATGAAGGGTGATGAAGAGATTGAAATGTTTGTCATGGAGAGGCTGAAGGTGATGGGAATGTTCAACTTAGATAGGCGAAGACTCAACAGGGTTCTTATCGATGTAAGTAATGTGTGATGGGAGGGAATAAAGAATATTGAACCAGGGTCTAATTGGTGGTCCCCACAAAAATAATTTGCTTGAATTAAAGGAACTTTTTTTATATAAGGCTTGTCAAGCACTGGAATGAGTTGCCCAGAGAGGCTGTGGAGGCTTCACATCTGAAAACATGCAAGACCTGACTGGACACAGATCTGAGCAATCTGCTTTAGCTCATCCTGCTCAGAGCCTTTGATTTTTATTTGTATGACATCTGGACACTCATCAGAATTGTGCTGACAGGTCTTGAGCTATATAATTTCTGAATGCCACAGGCAAGGTCTGCTACCAGGTTTTTTGAGGGAAAGAAATCTGAGAAGATAAGTCAATTAGACATCTCACTCGCATTTGCTGCTGCAATTTCAAGCTTTCCAATGCAGATTCTCAGCTAGTAACAACTGGTGGATCATAACATTTCAGTTGAATGCTCAGAGAAATGTCTGTGATTGGAGTTGAAAGTGAAAGATACTTGCAGGGATAGCCTAAGCCTTGATACTTCAAAAAAAATTATTATTATTTTCAACTCTTGAGGTCAAAAACAGTAGGCTTTTCTGAAGGGGAAAACATGGGATTCCTGTGGAGAGTATTTTAATTTACAGCACAGAGGTTATGGCACCAGCTATTAGGACCATGAGGATGATGACTGAATCAGTCATAGTAAGAAAAGTTTCATCCATTGTAAGTTATAGCATAACATATACATTCGTTTTGGGTGCCATATGAGTTTCCTTTTTAATGCAGTAAGATGAAGTCAGACGTCGATTGAGTTGAATCACAGTCAGATGGGAAGGCAGAATGACCTTTATAAGCTGTTTCATGAAGCAGCCATGTAGTTCCCTGGATTCAGCTGCTCCGATGTTAAGGGTAAAGTGGAACAGTACACAAAAATATATTCAAGTGTGTTTTAAATATATCTATTAATAAAGAGCAGAATGAAGGCAGGTCAGTAACTTTCTTTTCCCCCTAGTGTTTGTTATACAAACATGCTTTCTCTAGCCAAGAGGTAGTACAGCATTTCATGGGACTCAGATTTTGATTTATTGAGATACAAAAGAATCTTCACAGTTAAATCTGTCTTCAAGTAAATAAAATTTTACATGAGAAACTTGAAGCTTGACTAAGGGCTTTATTATTTTTAAAATAACTTTTTGAAAAATACTAATAAATGGTAATGTCAGGCCTTAGTTTTTCTTTTGATAGAGATGGACACGTGCAAGTAAGGAAGAAGTAAGGAGAATAAAAACAGCTGGCAAAAATGAGGAAGCTGAAAGAAGTATCTAAAAACACACTTTGGGTTTTTGAGCAAGTTCATACCTCAGTGTAAGGTAGGCAGCTCTAGGTATCTAGCAGTGCTTTCCTCATGTTCAGAACTTCTCAACATGCATGTGAAGGTTAAACTAGGACTTTTTTTGAAGGGCACTTCACTGTGGACTGAAGAGTCATGCCTGAGAACAAGTTGGATGTTGTTATTAAAATGAGTGCCTGTTTTTCAATTTGGGACTGATCCTGAACTTTTTAGGTGCATGTGTTGATTGAAATAATTTTTTTGTTACTGTGACAGTTATGTATTGAAACTGGAGAAGTCACCTTTACATTATTCAGTCTATTTTTAGAACTCTTTCTAAGTGATTGCTGCCTGTGACTGTAACTAAGTGCAATTGTTGTCAGACAGATGCTTGTGAAGCATAGCCATCTGCTTGTGATCAGATGGTAGTGAGGCTCAAGCACAAATTGCCAATGTAATTCTGTGAAAGTAAACCATTGCTAGTGCTTTGGGAAATGTGTAACTGGGCAAGCTCGCTTTGGATTTTTCTTCAAGTTTAACTTGTCTTACAAGTATCCCATGCAGGAGTGACTTTCCAGTGTTACCTGCCAGTTACCAACAACTTAGTGCCTGTGACCCTTCTTACTTTATACTTCCTGTGTACAATTGTGCCACGGAACAGGTATCATAGGACTTCAAAGGGAAATTTGGTAACTGTGGTCCTTTATTCCTGTCTGCAAGATCTTTAAATCATTCACTCATATGTGTGTTTGACTAAACAGTCATCTTACATAACATGGGCAGAATGAGTTTGGTGGGCAGTAACATGGAAGGAGGTAGATGAGAATGAAATAAAAATGCTAAAAGAAATGAAGAGGGAGACTGGGCAAGAAGCTTGAAAAGTGAGCAGAACAGGAGCAGAAGATGTGGAGGGAATTTATTTATGTATCAAAATACAGCTTGAACTCATTTCAATGTTCCGTATAATGAAATAGTGTCATGTCAAATCTCAGTTTGATTAAAACTCATTTTAGATGATCCTTTGTGGATGTTCTCAAAAGTATGAATATTTAACTCTTATTTCAAGCATACTGTTAGAGAAACTTTGCAGGGAATTCATTTTTCAAAGAGCTAGAGGAGGGAAATAAAATCATCCATGTGTCCTGGCAGCTCTCCTGATATGCCAGTATTTGCTGCTGGCTGAATTGTACTTTCTAGCAGATACCTGAAAGCCTCCTGCATCGCAGGATCAGCATGCTTTGGAGTCTGCTAGAAGTCCTGGTAGAACAGACTGGACACTGAGTTAAACATTGGTTTCTAAAATTCTCACTTTGAATTCAGTAGATCACAAAGTGTCTTGTGTGATAAGAGACTTACAAGTGGTAGGCACAATTCTTTCATAACTGTGCAAGAATTGTGAATAGACATATTTCATTCATCTTCATTCACTTGAAATAAAATTAAAAATGATTCTGGATTTAATAACGTACTTTTGCTGAAAAGGCTTAACAAAAAATATAGTGGTTTTTTTCCACGTCTGATATACTGTTCATCTACCAGGAGTAAAAATGAACTATAACTTAAGACTTTCTGACACCAAAGTTATTTCAGTTATTGCTTTAACCTTTACTGTCTGAAACTGTACAGCAAATATATTACCCTACCTTTAGCTAAGAAGGGAAGAATTGCAAGTTATATAAAAATTTCCAAGTTGACCCTTTTACACTTAGGTTATCATTAATTTTCAAGTGAAATTGCAGGGAAATAGCAAGGACTATTAATCTGAAGTGAAACTAAACATTTATTTTTTGCAAGAAATACAGATAAATGTGAATGTTCACACACAGCATAATGTTCAGTGAGATGCAAATTTTTGAAAGTTACACTCTTGCTTTCCATGTGTTGTCAACTGAATTTATATTGTGAATACATACTATACTCAGTGATCAGTATTTTAAAAGCAGAATCACAGATTGGGTAGGGTAGGAATGGAACACTACAGGTCATCTAGTTCAACCTCCCTACTCAAGCAGGGTCCCCTACAGAACTACTCAGGAATGTGTCCAGACACCTTTTGCGTATCTCCAGAGAAGATCTCTGCAACTTCTCTGTGCAACCTGTTCCAGTGCTCAGTCCCCTGCACAGTAAAGAAGTTCTTCCTCATGTTTAGGTAGAACTTCCTGTGTTCCACTTTCTGCCTGTTACCTTTTGTCCTGTTTCTTGGCACCACTGAGAAGCATCAGACTCCATCCTCTTCACACCCTACCTTCAGATATTTGTATGCACTGATAAGGTCTCCTCTAATTTGTTTCTTCTTGAGGCTGAACAGGCCCACTCCCTCAACCTTTCCTCACATGAGAAATGCTCCAGTCTGTTAGTCATCTTTGTAACCTTATGCTGGACCTGCTCCAGGAGCTCCTTGTGTATTATGTGCTGAGCAGCCCAGAACTGGACACAGCACTCCAGATGTGCCTCAGCAGGGCTGAGTAGAGGGGCAGAATCACCTCCCTCGACCTGCTGGCAATGCTCTTCCTGCTGCACCCCAGGATCCCATTGGCCTTCTTGGCTACACAGGCACACTACTGGCTCATGGACAGCTTGTTGTTCACCAGGACCCCCAGGTCCTTCTCCACAGAGCAGCTTTCCAGCAGGTCAGCCCCCAGACTGTGCTGGTGCCTGGGGTTATTCCTCCCCAGGTGCAGGACCCTGCACTTGCCTTTGGTGAATTTCACATGGTTCTTCTCTGCCTGTCCAGTAACCTGTTGAGGTCCTTCTGAAGTACTGCAGAGCCCTCTGGGGTATCAGCCACTCCTTTCAGCTTTCTTGTCAGCAAACTTGCTGAGGAGGCATCTGCCCCTTCCCGAAGTCATTGGTGAACAAGTCAAACTACACTGGATCCAGCATCGACCCTTGGGTGACACCACTAGTGACAGGCCTCCAACTAGACTTTGTGCTGCTGATTACAATCCTCTGAGCTCTGCCATTCCATCAGTTCTCAATCCACCGCACCATCCACTCATCCTGCCTGCACTACCAGCTAATGCAGTGTGTGTGTCTCCTTTCGTGTTTCTTCCGGAGATTGACTAGTTGATCGTTTCTCACTCAGCTTGTACAATATGCCCAGGATAGTCAGTGGTTCCAGTGGAAAGCATTGATTTTGGTGTTTTTGTTTTTTTTTTAAACAGCATCTGAAGCATTTGAATTGTTTGTCCTGGAAACGTTTTGCAAAAGCGAATGGATATTTAAATAAGTTTTTCAATTGTTAGAGGTCTTGACATTTTATTAGGTTAGAGATTAATTGCTTTTATTCTGAGTAACTGGCTCATCATGGTATTGCTACAGGAAGATAGTGTGATTTGTAGGTCTGAAAAAAGCTTCAACCCTCATGGGAATTATATATTTTTATATATTATACAAGCAAATATAAAAATATGATCACAACTCTAATTAATCCTCTTTTGTTCATGGATCCTTTTGCTTCTTTTCTTTTCTCCCACCCCCCAGATCCTGGATATGAACATTTTAAGATAGCAGAAAAATCCCATGGTAATTGGATCAAACTGTATTTAGAGGGGAATAATTCAGAAATACTCTTAAATCTTGGCAAAAAGGTCCTGAAGCAATACTTGGAGGCCCTCAAGACTCTGAGTTCTTCACTAAGCAAACAAGTGGCACAGTATGACATGTATTCGATGATGGTGGGGACTGTGATCATTATGGAGGTACGAAAATAGATCTTTCACTGAAAAGGTTAAGTGTACAAAAGTAAAAGTATCTTGGTTTTGACGATTTAATATATACACTTACTGGTCTTAAAAATTACTGAGTATGAATTCTTAGAGTTAGCTGACATTCTGCTTGGATGAGGTTAATACTCTTTTTAATGATCTGGCCTTTCTAATGATTCAAGAGCGCTTTTGATATGAACTACTAATGTTTTGGTGTAGCCAGTTACAGTAAATATGTAGATGTGCTACAGCTTAAATTGCTCCCCTATTAGTTAGCCTTCTATTTTTGAGTAGCTTTACTGCATTTAAAAAAAAAAAAAAAAAGTCTGGCAAGTAAATTCCTACCCATTCCTCTTTATGTGACATTGAGTGTAGCTGCTCGAAACGGGCAATACCTTATATGGACAATTTTCACAATTCCAGGAATTGTTCTTCGTGCTGATGGGTTTAGATCCCTGAAATAAATACTTGCTGTGAGGTGCTGGATTGCCACGTTGTATCTCCCATAGGAATAAAGATAAGATATGCCATGTCTGGAATTTTAAGTGGATTTCTTCAACTGATCTCTTGGGCAAAACTCAAATGCTGGAAATAGCCTCAAAAGCCTGGAAATAGTGTAATGCTTTGAGAACTGTGCTGAAGGAATAGCATGCCTGGACACTGAACTTCTATGTACTAAAGTTTGCACTGACCTTTTAGATTACAAGGTTGTCAACTTCTGTGAGTAAAAGCATTTTTCCATAGGATGGAGGTACCTACTACAAGCTTAGCTTAGTCCTTGAATGTGGTGCTGTACAAGACTCTGTTACTGTTCAGTGCCTGGAATAGATAACAATATGTGAGCAGCTCATTAATATTTGAGTCTCCTCTGTCCTGGCAGGGCTCTGTGCTTTGTCTCCTATGCACTGCTCCCTGCATACAGAGTACTTCTGAAATGGCTTTGTGGTTAGACTGCTTGGTGGGGTTTGTTCCTCTGCTGATCACCTCACAGGAATGTGCCCTTGGGTAGATGAGATGGCAGGTTCTGTTCCTGCTCTATGGATGGAGGATCTGGAGGTGGGCAAAGTTCAGTGCAAAGCTGAAGTGCTTATATTTCTTTTTTGTTCCTTTGTTTTGGAAACCCATGGATTCAAGCTGTGGACAGCTGAAGCAGTGGATTATTTTTTATCTTCTGAAATGCTTGTAGATGCTTACTGTTTCTAGAAAACAAATCTTAGGTATTATACTCAGTGGGCCTTCGTCAAAGACATATGCAGCTTACTAACCATGGAAATGTTCAAATTTTCATTGAGCAGTGTGTGCTCAGCATCACTGTAAGACTTGGTGCAAAGAGGCTGGAGTTTTTTATTTTCTCCAGTGTAATACTCAAGAAACTGCCTTGCTTTCCAAAATGTTTTTGTCGTGATATGTGTTTTCCACCTTTGCTGAATAAATAACAGTAGTGACACTCACATGTCACTTCAGACTACACTGTGCTAGAAATGCTGTTTATCGGGTGAGGAGGATACCTCTGGGACATGGACTGATAATACTGCACTTGCTCAAAAGACCTAAATTTAGTTTTGTAGATAACTAGTGCCTTCCTGCCGTGAGTGCTGTCTTTGTTGTAGTTTTAAGGGCTGTGTTGAAATGTAAGACCTAAACCAGTTTGATACTCTGAAACTGTATATTTTCATAACCAAATGAAATGTGGAGTAGAATATGATGAAACAGCAGATGAGTGCAATGCATTTGATATTTTTTGGTCTACTTTACTGTATCTCACTGTAATGTGGGAAAAATTTAGGCAGAGACCTTCACAAGTGGCAGTGAAAGATTACAGGTTGGCAGTGGTCTGTTTTTATCTTGATTTGTTTTAATCTTGCCCTGGCAGAGGCTGATTGAGGTCAGCGTAGTCCAAGCTCCATCTGTTCAGCTTGCAAAGCATTTTAGCATGTGGCTGAAGTTTCTTATTTTTTGTAAAGGTTTGTACAGTAGCAGAAATTTTCATTGTATTATTCATTTCCACTGCTGCAGTTACCCGAGAGAAAACTTGGAATTCTGCCTGATCTGTGTGCAGGTTAGAGCAAAGTTAAAGTAAAACCAATAAATCAAATTAAGATGAAGAGAGAGGCACAAAAAATAAATACTGGGAGAATTCATAAGCTTGAAATTCAGCATACACTTGTGTGATAGTATGAGAACTTCCCCTGGTTTGAGAAGCTATTTAACTCAGCAGGATCTCATATATGTGTATCTGTCATACAGGAGGTGAATTGTCTTTGACAGAGTGCATGTAACTTCAGGCATTTACAGGTGACAAATAATGGGTCAAATTTGTTTGCTTAGGAACTATTTTGATGTTGGGAGCTCTTACTTTTACAGGGAATGAAGTTCATACATCTTATCAGTTACCACAGGTGAGGAGGCAAATGGTAATTTATTAAACTCGGGAACCTGTGTGTCCAAGCCCTTAATAAATGAAAACACCATCTTGGATTCTCCCATTTATATGGTATTATCTTACTGGGGGAAAAAACCCCTATATAGTTCTTCACAGGTTTTTTTTTTGATGAAGTATGTGTACTAGCAGAGTGACATGGATGACTACAACATAATTTTTTTTGTGAATTCTCACTGTATGTTTTAACTAACCCCAATTTTTAAAATATTAATTCCCTATTTTTTTTTTCTAGGTTCTGCTGCTGCTTTTGCTCAGTGTTCCAAAAGCCCTGAGCAAGCGGGCAGAATTTGAAGTGCCCCTCTCCCCTCCACTATTCTCTCTGCTGTTTTATTTGATGTGTCTGATGCTGTGTGCAGTTCATGTCATTGTATGCACGTCAGCAGAAAGTTTGTGCTATTTCTGCAGTATGTCCTGGCTAACAGCAGTTGGAGTGATGATGCTGATTTCTGCACTCATGTGTGGTATTTTATCTGCTATTGCAAAGATCTTTGAGAATTCCCGACTTCCACTGAAGGTGAGAGCGTGCATTAATTATGGTTCAAAATGTTTTGCTTTTCATGGTGTGCTTTCAGTTAAAATTTTGTTGAGTTTCCTCTCTGTGTGCCTAGAGAAATTTTTATTTTGTAATGTAATTTGAGTAATTTAAAGTTGTAATTGAAATGGGGTGTTTTCACTGTGGCATGATACCGATTGTATAATAAAGATTACAGAAGTGCTTGTTTTGCCATTACTTGAAGAAATGTTCTAAATATTGTAAAATACTTTGCAGTTGACTTCATGGGATTGGGAACAGTTATACTGTATACAAATTCTATGTTGTTACACAGTGATATTTCAAAATTGCAATTAAAGCAACATGATTAACAGGTCAGCTACAAATATCTGCTTTATCAAATCAGAGAAAGAAGTTTCCTCTTGGGTATAGCTGCTAACAGAATAGTCTTTGTAAGTGTAAATCACAGTTTGGTTTTGGTACTGAAGGTTTTGTGTCAAAGTAGTAGTAATGTTTTGCTGCCAAAGCTAGTGATGCTTATGTGGGTCTTTTTTTAGAGTCAAATGAAAGGTGAGGGTAAAATTCATCAACATGAATGGAGAAATCTTCTGAATGAGATGTCTAGTTTTACAGTTTGTTAACACAGTTGGTACGTAGGGGTGTGCTGTTTTTTAAGTGGATTCAGTTCACTTTTGCCATTTCTGATCTGTTCTGCTTAGGGTTCTTATTAGCTTTCTGTATTTTATTGTGAACGAGGTAGAAATTAGTCTTAGAAAAATAATATGGCCTTGGAATAATTCATGCTTCTGTGTGTTCTGTAGAAACCTCACGTTTACTTGCCTGTTTTCCATCTTGTTACCAGTTTTTCTAATTTTAGTGGACAGTAGGAATCTAAATATGATGACTTTCTAGACCTGCATAAAATTGACAGACATTCCACTTAGTAGCATTGAGACCAATGACAACAGGTGATAGTTTTTTTTTTCTCCAGGTGGATAGTCTCAAAGAATCACAGAATCATGAAATGGTCTGGGTTGGTAGGGACCTGAAAGATCATCCAGTTCCAAACCCTTTCTCTGGTCAGGGATATCTTTCACTGGACCAGCTTGCTCAGAGCCCCTCTAGCCTGGCACTGAACACTTCCAGGGATGGGGCATCCACAGCTTCTCTGGGCGACATGTTCCAGTGCCTCACCACCCTCACTTGAAGCAGATCAGCTGCTTCAAGTTGATAATACACAAATGAGGAGGTTTTCAACAATGCTTTCCAGGTTGTGTGTGTGTGTTTGTTTTTTCAAGGCTGGGGCAGATAGAAATAAAAAATACTCGATTCTCCATCCCAGGTCTGCCTGTGATCAAATTCGTACTTGAGATACGTCTGAAAATGTAGGAAGCTTAAGTATGTCTTATGAAGTGTAGGTAATAGTAATTCTGATTGGGGCAGACATGACTTTGTATTCAGACCTGTAGAAATACCCTTTTGTCCTCCTGTCTTCTGTCCTATTCCATAGGTGACTGGATTGCAAAGTCAAGTAGGCTTCATTCCAGTCATGGATAAAAGCAGTGACCTGGTTTTGATTAACATTTTTACCAGTTTGAGGGCTACTATAGAATGATATTGTGGGATTTTTTTAGGGTCACTGCTTATACAAATATAGAGCCTGGAGAAGGTGAAAGGAGCAGCGTATGGTCTGGTGCTGTTTGCAGTGTGGATGTGTCCCAAACACTCACCTCCATTTTTCATCCCCTTTTTCAAAAGAATACCTAGACTTTGGGGGAGAAACTGGTTGTCTTTGTATGCTGTGTGCTGATCCTGAAGGGCCTTCTGCCCTGAGTTAGGAGTACCACTTATGCTAAAGTAACTCTAAATCCAAGTGTGTGTGACCACAGTGTGAATCTATGGGTGGGGCCCACTTCTGAAAGAGCTCTGAAGCCCTGATCTTCTGATGGCAGGAGTAGAATCCTGAATCATGGTCTTGCCAGTTAAAAAAAGCTAAAAAGCCTTTTCCAAGCTCAAGCTGTACGATAAAATGTAGGTATTTTAGAAGTAATTAAGATAAGCTCTCCTGTTAATGGCTTCAGAGCTTTTTTCCTTCAAATTGTTTCCGTTCACATCTAAAGATTTCTCTGAAGTGCTTCTCATTTGTAATGCTTTTTTTCCCACTGTGGCTGAATATAGAAACTGATTACCAAGTTCATGAATTTTCTGAAGACCAGTGCAGGCAGTGTTAACATCTGCTTCCTGACTGTTATTTATAGCTTCTGATTGCTATGTTTCTAGCAGCACCAGTCCCTTCTTTTAATGATACTTAAGGCTTTAAATAGTTCTGCAGCCCTTTATGAATCCCAGAAAATCATCAAAAATTTTAACTTTTTGTTCGTAGCCTCACTGTAATTGCTTGGTAGTTGACATAAGTATGGTGTTTACTACTACTAGTTGTGGTTTTTTTCTCCCTGTTTCTGATAGAAATAAAAACTAAGCTTTTTTGAAACTAGAACACAAAAGTTAAAGCTTGTCAAATACAGTTTTTGAGAATTTTCATTATGCAGAATTATAGTGGTTTTTTACTGCATAAACAAATTGTTCCTCTTTCAGTTTATTTTGAAGTACCCTGTTCATCTTACAGTATTTTTGAGTTTCCTCCCCTATGTGATATTCTTGGTTAAATGAACAGTGATACATTTTTATGGAGTTACATCTAAAATTTTTTAGCATTTTTTGACTTGAGGAATTAAAAAGATGATTGGGTGATGTCTTTACCAGATAGCTTACAAAAATGATCCCAAACTGCTATAAAAATGTAGCAGCAAGTGTCATCTGTAGTACTTTGCCATGGGAAAGTTACCACCACAGGGAATCAAGACTGGATTCAGAGAGCTCAAGTATCAGAAGGGAGCAAACTGCTAAGTGTTTAGATTGTCAGTGATGGTGGACATGAAAAATAAAATGTTTCTTATCTGAAAAGTGATTGCAAAATTCCGCAGGCATTAACTGTGGATGGTTAACATTACAGAAGCCAGATAACTGGAATTGGACACAGAAGATAGACTACAGGAGGTTTTATTTCAAAGTGAAGAAGTTTTAAAATTTACTGGTCAGAGGTTCACATACTTTATCATTTATGGACTGGCATTTCTGCAAGCTAGCAAGATGTGTTCAAAGACAGGGCAAGGGGTCAGTTTCTGTATTAAGTACTAATGCTGGTACGTCAGTTGTTAAAACTACCTTGGCTTGGGAGATGATATGCTTATATTTGAAGCCTGGGACTTATGCATTTCTGAACAAAAGAGTCTGTGTTAAGTGTGTTTGCCAAGATAGCAGTGAGAATCATACAGGTCTTCTAGTGTCTGGAACGACTGCTGAGTTCCTGAGGATTGGACGTGTTCAGCAGCTAGAAAGACAGAGCTGTGAATAGGCAGAAGTAAGACCTACATTTCTATGCCTTTAAACCACATCTAAGAACTAAGTACAATCTAAATAATCTAAGGTCAGACTGTATATGACACTGGACTCGTGACGTACCTAATAAAGCACAGTTCATATATAGGGGATTGCCAGTAAATTTAGAAAACCTCAATGGAGATATTTTCAGAATTTCATAGATTATCAAGGCACAGATTATAATTTGCAACATAGTTTTTGATCCTGCATAGTGACTTAACTGATCTGAAATGTGGTTTATCAGTAAATGTCATTGGATTTTATTCCTTTGATGTGAATGTAAGAATAATTTTTTTCTCTTTTCACTGGAATTGTGAGAGACAAGCAGGCAAGAAATACAGATTTTGACTCTGGGACATTTCATGCCAATGCCATCGTTCTCATGAGAGTTTTGTATATTCCTCATTGATAAAGCATCAGTTCTTCAGTTTTCATATCAGTTGCTGACAGCAACCACATACAAGAGACCAACTGTTCCATAGATTTTCTGTTATGTCTTATAAAGAAGATGAATTATATCAAAGACTTGTTCATTGTCATTTATTGGGGGTCTCAGATTTCTTTGTCTCTTCAAGCAGATAATACTTAAATGCTCATTATTTAGTTAGCCAAGATCTTTAAGGTCAGCATGATGGAATTATTGGAATTTAAACTTTCTGTAGTTCAGTCATGTACTGTTCTTGTCTCAGCTTTGTGAATTTCATGCTCTTTGGTCTTTGCACAGACTACCTTGTCCTTTTATTCCAAATACCAGCTTATGGTATTTGCTTTTCAGAATAGAGTACTAAACAAACCAGAGTGGTCTCTCGAGCACCAAAGAAATATCAAATACTAGTAAATTTAGATTGGCCCTCAGCATTTTTTTTTAGTTTATTAGCATTTTTCCTCCCATTATTGTTGTGTGTAACCCCATGGAGACTTTTTTGGTTGTGGGTGTTTTGTTTTTTTTTTCTTTTTTAAAGTGAAATGACTTTGGTGTAATGTATTCTTTAACAACAGAGGAAATGAAAGGGCTGTGAATAGGTAATAACTGTAACTATACCTCCTGCATTCTTTCACATACATCTCTTAAAATTTTGATTTTGCAAAAGTTGTTTTCCCCAAACCAAAATTCCAGAGAGGGTTAACTAGGTTCTTGCATTAAGTGTGTTTGTTGTCTTCTCCATGTTACATGGTCCTGCTTATTAAACAAATGTGCATATGCTGCTGTCAGTAAGTCATAAACACAAGACAGAATTGCATCTAAGATGCTCAGAGATACTTGTATTGTTTACACCTGCTTTCTTGTTACCTGCTCTAAGATTAATGAGTTTCGATAGTCTTACTATGTTGTAATGCTAACTAAATATGCTACATTGAAATGATTCTTGTTTAAGTTTTTGAGATTTGTTAAGATAGAAATAACTTGTCTCATGATTTATTTTGTTTTCTTAGAGGAAATTGCTGTAAGCACGCTGTGAATACTTACACAAGAGAAATTTTTACACCCTTTCACCACTCCTGTGTTTTGTTTTTTTGTTTTCAGAATCCAGCTGTGTCCAGTTCTAGTTGGTCAGAAATAGATGTGCTGATTCTGGCTGGAACGATTGGCCATGTTTTGAGTTTGGGGGCAAGCAGTTTCATAGAAGAGGAACATCAAACTTGGTATTTTCTTATCAATACACTTTGTTTGGTGCTGTGTCAGGAGCTTTGTAGAAATAATTTTCTTCTAAAGGAATGTGACCCTCAACATAGCACCAATGTGAAGCAAAATTTTGATAGTCTTGGGGAAACCTCTGATTGCAAGAATATAGACATTCCAGCAGCAGATAATTCAAAATTGGACAAGGCCACATCTTCATCTGAATTCATGAAAGGATCACATAAGTGGATAAGCTTAGCAACTCCATGGGTCATCCTTATTTGCTGTCGGCTACTTCGATCCTTGAATCAGACAGGTGTCCAGTGGGCTCATCGGCCAGACTTTGGACATTGGTTGACAAGGTGGGTATATCTGATTTACAGTCACACTTTCTGCATTATTTAAAAATTAACATATGCTTCATTTGGTGAAGTACGTATGTATTTCTGTGCAGTCTGTGATTAGAACGTGCTGCAAACATGCAAAGCAGATAAATGGGGAGGTAACATAAGGAGTTTTTCACTGCTATTTCATGCAGGAGTGATTCCTTGTGTGCTATCAGTAGTTTATAATCTTTGCCCTGCGCTATGACTTATCTAATTAATGCCAATTATACACGATAGGTCTATCAGAAGCAAAAAGTAAATATTTTCCATATGTAAGTCAGGAGTGTCTGGTTTGAGAAATTAAAAATCGCTTAATAGAATTAAACCCTTGAAATTAAGACAGGAAGGTTCTGCATAATTCCGAATGTTATGAAATCACAGGAGAAGATGCCTCACATAGAATTTTTCCTTGTCTATCACAGGCTTTTAACGTGTGGGTGGAAAACTGAAGGAATTTTTTGAGTGTAATATGATAAACAAGAAGAGGAATTTTTTATAACTTGAAGTACACCAGAGGAGAGGTTCTCCTTTTTCTGATACCTCTTAGTATTTTGCAGAACTACAGTCATTATTCAGTGATAAAAAGTACGTGATGTTTGAACTGTCTTCTGTACTTCAGTTGGTGGATGGAGAAGCGATACCTTGTGACTGCCTAGTCAAGGTTTTGCAGACAGCAGATGAAGAGGCTGTGCTGTGTAAGATGAATAGATTTCTTGCCGGTATCTTACAACACAGGGATGAAATGTCATTCATCATTCATTAAAAATGACATGAGCAAATGGACTAATATGAGACTTGTTATTTATTGGCAACCCCACAGGTGAAATGCTCATTGCTGTGACAGGCATGAGTGCTGAAAGACATGAGTTAGGAGGGAATTTGTCACATTACAGCGGTTGTTCTATTCCGGAGCTTTCACCATGCATTTGTGCTCTTGGGATGAGGTGAGGGATTGAGGAAAGAATGTTGTATTTTCAACATCAACTCCACATGATAGATAACTCCTTCGTTATGAGCTAAGCCAATGTGTGAGCAGGATGAGGCGTGATTTGGTGTGACCATGAGGATTTTTACAGTTAATTCTGAGCATCTGCCTAAAAACATCCTGAGCCAGATGTTTTCTTCAGACTGTCAGCCCTTTTCTTTGGGATGTGCTGATGCCACAAAGGCATGAAACAAGGACCTGATACTCTTGCAGCTGAAAAATTGTGTTTGTTTCAGATATATGCTTTTACTCATGTGGTCCACTAGGAATGTTTACTGACTCTTGCAAATTTTATCAGCCTTCTAAGAATTCTGTATGCATGTTTGGACTTCACTTCCAAAGATCTTGCTTCAGTTTAATGTGCTCCTACCTCTGATTTCATGGTGCTTGGTATGCCTGTAGAGCAACAAAACGTATTCCAGCCTTGGGCTGTAGGGTCTCAGGGAGATAGCACAGGTATAGAGCATAGTCTGCAGATAAAGCAGATGCTTCTAGGGCTTCCTGATTTATAACAAAAGCTGGGGAATCCTGGAAAATCCTGTATACCTAGCTCTAACACTTACTACCTGTCAGGAGCTTCCAAGCAACCAACTCACATAAACCCAAGGCTTTTTACACCTGTTCTGGTTTCCTCTGGGGTTCTGTTGTTGTTGTTATTGAGGAAGGAGTGGGGAGAAGGGAGGGAGGAGGCTATTTTTGTGTTTCATTTTTGTGCATATAAATTGGAATTTGTGTGAATTTGAATATGTCCATATCTTTCTCTGTACTGAGTAACCCATAACTGGACCCAGGGTTGAACACCAGGGAAGAAACAGCCTTCCTCAGTCTTCTGTTTAATATTTTTCATGATGCAGCTCCAAATACTGTTGGCTGTCTTTACTCCAAGGGCACACTGTATGCTGATTATCAAGTCAAGAGTTCATCAGTGTGCTCAGAGCCATCTCTGGAAAGAGGGTTGGCCTCCAACCTGTCCTGATGTGTGTAGCTATTTGTTCCAAGGTGCAGGACTTGCCTCTTGCCCTTGTTGAACTTCATGAAATCCCTGATAGGCCATTTCTTCAGTCTGTCGAGGGGCTTTGAATGTCAGCAGACCCACCTACTGTATCGACCACTGCTCCCAGTTCTGTGCTGTGTGCAGACTTTCTGAAGGGACACTCTGCCCAATTGGTCAGGTCATTAATGTAGACATTAAGCAGGATAGACCCCCATGTGAAGTCCTGGGGTTGACAGCTAGCGACTGGCCTTCAGGTGGACTTTGTGCTGCTGATGGGAACCCTGTGAATCCAACATTTGAGTAGTTTTCAGTCCACCTGACTGTCTACTTTTCCTGGCCTGGACCACATCAGATTGCCAGTGGGGATGCTATGGGAGCTGGTGTTAAAAGCCTTGATAAAGCACGGATAAACAACAATACCTGCTTTACTCTCTTCCACTGAGCTTGTCATCTCATCACAAAAGTCTGTGAGGTTGATTAAGTATTCTCCTTCATAAAGCCGTAACAACCTTGTTATTAAAGCTGTCTGCCTCCCCCGTCAGTAAGGCTGAAGTACAGCAGCTAGATATCAAAGAACCAAAAAGCTTCAAAATTTTACAGGTGAATTGCTCCGTGTTCTCTATCAAATTATGGCCTCACATTGGGTATATTTGCTTGGGTCTCAAAGCAAGAGGAAGAGAAAAGGTTCTACAGCTACAGTCTTAGGCTACAACTGAGCGTTTGGCTATAACAGTATATTGGAGGAGCTCTTGCCATACAGAGCAAGGTACTTGCTCTCTTACTCTTCCCCTCACTGGCCCTGCATTTTACCTGTTTGCATGTCAGTATAGTGAACTAAATAATTGAATAGATATGACTGGAAAAATAACTCAAGATGGCATGGGAAACACTTGGCTTTCTGTTGGATCACATACCACTCCAATTTACCATCAGGTTTCACAGGCAAATGGGCTGGCTAGTAACAGGAATACAGGAAGGGAAGAGTGTACAAATCAGCACTGCTGTTGTTGAAATTACTGTAGAAACAGAATGTGGAAGTATCTGCATCTTTTGAAGTGCTACAGACATAATCAGTTTTTCTTTCTGCTGTTGTCAAGCATTCCTTACAAGAACCTGCATGCCTTTCAAATATGATTGAGAAAGAAGCAATGATTCACAAACTTGTATTCTGGGGGGCTTAAAAACACTATGCAAAAGTCCAGAGTGCTGTGACAGCCTAAGAGTATATGTGATTAGGGCTGTCACACTTCTACATTCACCCTTTCATTGATATGTTTAGGGAGCAGGTGAAAAGAACAGAACCCTGGCAGCCCTGGCACAGGCTGGCTTGGGCTGCTGTGGAGCTATATCCTGACTTTAACAATGGAGCAGCTTTTAATCTAACAGGAGAATACAATATGTCACCATGCTGGTGTATACTTCATTTGCTTTATAGGATTAAAACATTAGCAGCATTTGATGTATACAGATTTTGGACTCAAGTGATGGGATGGTAGTTGAGTTCTTGAGTTCTGTTGTGTTTCACTGGACAAGCTTCAGGAAGATCAGTCAATGATGCAACTGAAACTTTACACATCCTGGGGTCTGTAAAGTGTCAGTGAATTCCTATTTGGCAAACATGTTTGGATTTTCTTTGTTTAGAGGTTTTAATGTCTTTGTTCCTTCTCCTTTACAAGAGAACAGGGTGGTAGAGATGTCTGTTTCCCTAGTGTTTTGATCAAAATTGAGGTGATGTGTTTTCCTTAACAGCATGAATTAAAAGTTGGTGATAAGCTGAGTTGCGTAAAGCACTTATTCCTCTTCCCGAAATGCATTGCTAGTCTGTGAGGTTGATTGTTGTTTTATTTTTAGCATGAGTTTAATTTGCATAGTTACATCTTAATAGCTCTCTTTTTACTAATAAGTGTTTAGAACCTTACTTATATCGTTTGTGCCCTTGTTAGTTTGAGTTACAGCTACTCAGGCTTTTTCTAGACAGCCTTCTATTTCGTCTCTAAAATAAACTAATGAACAAACTGCCCTCTTTTTTTATTCCCCTGTATTGACCTTTTAGACATCTGTGCTCATGCTCAGACTAGTATTTTGCCTATCTGGACAGTGCTTAATGGCCTCAGCATTTGAGTCAGAGACACTGTTGTCCAGGTTTGTCCATTGAAAAATGTAAGTACCAAAACACAGAAAATCAATGATCCTGTGGTGTCTTGAATTTGGCTACTAGAGATGCATTCAGCAGTGCTGAAATAAAGAAAATGTTCTTTGTTATTTGCAGACAGACTGTGAAATCTGCTACAAAGAGGAAAAATACTTTGATGGGAAAAAGAGCAAAAGAAAATCAGTAGATGAAGTGGAAGAGAACACTTAATCTAGATCTGACTGGAAATCAGGTTTTCTTTTTAATTAGTTGGTATTCAATTAGCTTCATTTAGCTGGTTATCTTGGTCAGAACTGATACTTCAAAGGTGTCAGAGCTGCTACATGGCAGCATCAGCTCCAAGAGAAGTGACAAGAAGCATCAGCATGGAAAGATGATAATATTTTCCTTTAATTGTCTGAATAACTTAATAACTTAACCGTCCCCAAATTCCCTTCCCCCGAAGCTAGCACACCAGAAGTATGAGTGTAGACCACAAGATGTTACAGTAGGAAGATACAGCCAAAGTGTTCTTTTTTTCCTTCCCTCTCACCACATTTTCTCTCAGGAAGCTGTTGGTTCATTTTGTGGTTTGGGCAAAACCCACTACATTGCAGCTGAGATCAGAGTAGCATGTTTTGCTTGTATTTCTGAGTAGACTATCAAAATCATTTAGAACTTTGCTAAATGACTGGAGTCTCTGTGTCTGTGTTGAGCAACTACCATCGCCTTTCAAAACACAAGCTAAGTACATATGCTTTTAGCTGACTAACTGGATGAACCTTGGCTAGAAAACCTTGAAACTGTAGGGGATTTATGCTGACCTGACTTCACCTGTATAAATCTTTTTCTTCTTTCTTCAGCAAACTATGAAACACTGGGGTGGGTTTTTTTGAGCAAATTTATATGGTTCAAAAAAATTCCCCAGAGAAATCACAGAGGACTGTTACCCAAAAACCTGGACAGATTTGTATATAACCCCCTTCACTAGCAGTCAAGAATGCAAAGTCATGTGACTGATGTGCACATTACTTTGAACATAACTTTGCAGTGCCCCCATTTTTTCCAGGGGAGGGTATTAGAGTATGATTTCAGATGTTCATTGTAGGAATTGCAGCTGTTAGTGAGTGTCTGGCTTGACATAGCAATAGCAGTTACTTCTTACAGATAGCAATGGCTTTTTTAAATTTTTTGTATTGCTGTGTTAACTTTGTCTGCAAGAGTCTCTTAACAAAAGTGAGTTTTTTAGATAAAGAGACAAAGACGATGATGATGTGGTTATTTATTCCTGATTTGTCTTGCTCTCATACAATGAGTAGCCAAGGAGGATACTACCTGAAAACTTAAAGTTTTCAAAAATGTTCATTTGAAAGGTGCAGTGGCTACCAAAATAGTTTATTATGTGTTGATCATAAGAGATGGTGCTTGCACTATCTTTATGGGTTACTGCAGGAATCTATTCACTGCTTCTGCTGACTCCTTATGTAGAAAAAGAAACATCAAGACTGCATTTTCTCTCCCATAGTGTTCTAGATCTTATTCCTCTCACCTTTCTCCAATGGCTTGCAGAGAGCACTGCATCTCTTGGGAGTCTTGTTAAGTTCTATGGACTACTTGACTGGGTCCTGCACGGAGGACTAGCAGGACAGTTTTTCTGCCCCATAACCTTCCCTTTGTGACTTTCCAAGTGCAATAGCTGAAATAACTGTTGTTCAAACCCATGATAAATCAAACACTAGGGACAGGAAAGTAAACCTCTTCGAAGTACAGTAATTTTTATTAAATCGGAGATAAAACTGGAGTTTCATAAGTGTGATGGGATTTAATGCAGATAATAGCCCAGGCTCACTCTTAGTTTTCTGAAGTTAGTGATCTTTTATCTTGGCATTTTGAATGTGGAAGGCAGAAGACAGAGCCTTTGGCTCTCACTCTGCACAATGTCCTTAACAGAAGGTAAATCTGACAAAATTAGTGGTTTTACATAATTTGGAATACTGGGAATATCTGCAGTAGGCTTGGGTTGACAATTCTTGTACTACAGTGGGCTTTCTTAAAGTGTGTAGGTAGCTGTGGTAGGGATTGGGTGCAGATCTTCAGTTTACCCCATTACATTTTGCAGTGTTAATTCATACTACTGATGATTTAAATACATAACATTGGCAGCATGCTCAGTAAAATGACCTCTATTCTGGAATGAGTGTTACCTCTGTCTAGGATGCAGAGGAACAAACAAACTGTATCTCTAATATTCTCTGTCACTGATGCAAATTTTGTGTCTTTATCTCTCACATAGTACAAGGTGCTGTAGTTGCATAAGGGAATTGCATTGTGCTAATGAATTTGTATATGTGTGTTGTAAACTGTGTAAGTATATTTGTGGTCATTCTAGAGAGGTAGTGTGTTCTATGACTAAAATTAATTAAACAAATCAAATACATGTGTTGTTACTTCAAAAGACAGAATAGTTCTAATCCTGTAGGACAACAATCTTTTTCATCGTGCTAGAAAATAAAATGCTGTACTGTTAGTGAAATGCACTGTTTCAGAATGTATAAACAACAAACCCCTAGTTTAAAAGTATTAGACCCTTTTCTGTGATGCAATATGCAGCTCAGTTTTTATTTAATTAACAGAATAACTAGCATATGGTAGGACACAATAATTACACTTTTAAATATGTATGCTTGAATAGAAAACCTTATTAATAAAAGTGCTTTTTTAGAAATACTAAAATATTTTACAATACCTCTCAGCAACTTCATAACAAGTATCAGCGCAGTGATTAATTTGGTGCTGCATTAATTAATACAGTTTATTAATTGATTAATATGGTGCTGTAGCTAATATGTTTAGCTCTAATTTATGTTTCAAAAGATTTTTTTTGTTTGTTTGTTTTTTTCCCAGCTCTGAACATAAACCTGAACTCTCCTTCTTGACTGCAGTCTCCCTGCTTATGATCTTCTTTCTGGTTCAAAGGAGATGCTCCCTGGTTTCAAAAATTGCTATGGCACTCGGGCTCCTGGGAGTCTACAGTTACCGGGCAGCTGTTGGAAATGTCATATTTCCATGGCAACATGGTGGCAAAGATATTTCAAAGTAAGTTAATCAACAGATCTGTAACGCTGTTTCTAGCAAGGTGTTAGCACTTTGGATATCAGGGGATGAGGTGGAGGGGACATTATGTCTAGGTTGGAATTACATTCTTACGAATGGAGCTCTAGTTTATAGGTGACCAGCACCCAGTTTTTGTTGTGCATGCTTAATTTTAAGCCCAAGTAAGTGTCTTTTGACTGTGGCAGATCAGAAGCCAGTCAGATAAAAATTAATATGAGGAAAATCTAGTAGTCATACCCTATATTTTTGCTAAAATGAAACTCCAAATGCACCATCTCCTCTTTTTTTAGATGGACTTGCCATGTTTAACAGAGCACAGGCCAAGGTCATTTAGCTGCTTCTTAGTTTCAGAAATGGTTAGGCAGTAGTTCAGAGAGCTGCTTTTCCGTACCTTGTTTTTCCAGTTGAGTTTTCTGTAATATCTGGGCTTTCAGGATGTAACCACATCCTTCTTGAGGTCTCGTCTGTGCAGCATAGTGCATACTAAGGATTTTTAGGCTGATGTTAAGTTTCTTAGAGAACTAGTCTGTAACTGTAAGGAAGCTATTAGCTCTTTCACCAATGAAATTTCCTTTTTGGAATGTGGCTAAATGGTTTTAGTTTTCTTATTGTACTTTTCACTGTTGGATTGTACTTGGCTCTGCAGCCTCAAGTTTTCCTGAATGTCAGAGAGTTGTGAAAAACTTCTAGAGTCAGTTAGAACATTTGATGAGGGGGAAGAGATTATGGAAGAGATGTTTTTGAAACCATTGTCTTCTGGATGTAGTAAACTTCCTCTTGCACTCATTTTGAATTTTATATGGATACAAATGGTTTCTGTTGGAGCTTCTTATCAGGGGCCAGAGGTTCACAAGATGTGCAGAGATGGAAAAAGCCATTCAGAGTAAGATCTTAGGACATATGGAAAATCAGGTTTGCTAACACAGCATGTTTTATAATAAATATTTGTAGGTATGTGTATCTGGATATATTGACATACGATCCCTCTCTCCAAATATTGAAGATAATTCTGGTTGTATACTAGTGTTAACATTGTGTGTTAATTCTGCTGCATGAGAAAGTAATGATAATCTTTACTTAATCTGGAGGATTTGGCTCTGTGTTTGAAACATGCTTGATTTTTGAGTGTAATCTCTAGTTTTGCTTTGTATTTTAGTAAAATCCTTAGAGAATACTACTGTCCTTGCAATGAGAATTAAAATACTGCAGTGTGGGACAGAACATTAAATACAGCAATTGAGCCACAAGTAGAATGCGATTAGAGAAATAAGTGGAGTACTTCAATACTGAAGTCAAACATTTATTTAAAACTTGGTCATTATGTGGTCAGCACATTGGTCGTATTGATACAGAAAGCATACAGGCTTTTTTATTATTTCACCTTAAATAAATAGCTCACATAGTGATTTTCTTAAATTATGTCAGAGCTTAATATAAACCCCAAATGAATCTTCCCACGGCACACATGGGTCCCATCTGAGGAGAGGTTCTGCCTCCCTTCCATACTCTTGTGCCTTTCGTAAAAGCAAAACACCAAACAATCCAAAACAAACCCATGTGTCTACTGCTGCCAGGTCAGAACATTATGTCTGTCCTAGTACCTGTCAGTTCACAACACAGGGTTTCTGCCCGGTCCTCTGCAGCCACCACTCGTGCTAACATGTGGGTTTCTCAGGTGTAAAGTACAAGGCTGGACAGAGAGACATGGTTTACCCAAGATCACTGACTCACCAAACATTATCTTCAGCAAGGCTCCCAGGACAGCATGTCAGAAAAGGTGGTAGACACAACTTAGTAGATTTCAGATGATAGGTGGTGTGTTGACATAGTGATGCTAGCTCATCTTTATGATCTAGCATCTTTATGATCAGGCATCTTATATGCCTGGTGTGATATATTTGGTAAAAGCCTACTTAAAATGCCACCAGGAACAAACCCAGGACTTTCTTTTACATGTGTCTGGTTAGTGTATTCATAATCTGGAATAGCTCCAGATCCAGGTGCAAGGTAGAGGTAGTTTTGTGTAATATCAGTTAAAGCTGTAGGCAACCACTGCATTTTTCATGCATAATGCATTCTTCTCTAAGATGGAGACTCTTTGCTCTCAAACACTCCCTCTCTGTACCCTTTACTGCAGATTTTGTCTGAATGTGACAACTGCTGGAAGGTGGATGAGGGAGAAGACTCAATTTAAGTGTTCTACATTTTCTATGACTTACACTAAGAAAACGTCTAAATTAAAAAACGCAAAGAAGTAATTTAGCCTTCTGTTTTCCTCACACTTATTTAAAAAAATTATAGTCTGAGCAATGAAAAAGATGAGTATGTACTGTACTAACACAAAATAATAGTGCATTTGCTGAGAAATATTTTTTTTGTTTGAATTTTCATCAGCTGGTTGATTTCAGTTCTCATTTAACTCATTGAATAGACCAATATCCAAAGCTAGTTCCTAAAGTTTTACTTCTAAGTCATATGAATATATTTGATGTAATTATTACCACAAAATATAAATATTCATAGTTATCAGAGACTCTGAAAAAGGTCACTGAGTTTCTACATTAGCCAGAAACAGAGGAACTCTCTAAACTTTACTGTTTTTTACTTTTTTTTTTCCCCTTAAATGAAAAAGCCAGTGGACCTTACAGGGTTTTTATAAAAACTTGCTATTTAAGTGAATAAAATAGTAAAGTCCTTTTGCATGGGCCATTAGGTATAAATTTGAACCTTTGAAACCTAAACAACAGAACAGTGTATTGTATTCAAGTTTAGGAGGACCACATCAGTGTTGTGTGGTGGTTTTGCCTTTTTTTCTTATTTCTGTAGATGCAAAAAGAAAATCAAACATGAAAATGCTCCAGCTTATTATTTCTCCTCTTGCTTTTTCTTTCCTCTTTGTGAAAAGGAAGATTGAATTCAAGCTTATTTCTTAGTAATTTGTTGAGAAGGAGGGTGACCTTCCAAAGACTGAAAAAATAATTAAAGTTTTAATTATTATTTATTTATAAAATTATTATATTTTTTTTTGATAAGATTTTTTTTTAGAAATTTTGACTAGTAGTGTTTTGTTGTGGTCAGCTAATTACACTACTTAGATGAGTATAACTATACTTTTACTATTTTTAGAGTCCTGGCCTAATCCTCCATATATTACTAAGTCCTGATGACTCAAGAATCCTCACTGCTGAGTGAATTATATTAACTTTGTAGGAGACCATGTTCACTCATTACTCATGTAAAAAGTGGCTGGTAGTAAGAGTTTAGCTGGTGGAGCTGCACTCTACCATGCCTTATACAAACAGACCCATCATCCACTTCACAAGAAGTGATGGATCTCCCACCCTCTCACCACCAGCCAGAAGGACCTTAGGGATGGAGGGGGAGTGGAAATGGCTTTCTGCTCTGGGTGGCAGGGCAATCTCCTCCTGACCCACCTCACATTCCCAAGCTGTTGACCTACCCTGTCTTCCACGATAGATAAGAGGCCCTGGAATCTGAGAACCAGGGAAATGAGGACCAGAAAAATGTGAACATGAATGAAGGTCCATCCAGGTTGAAGAGATTACCTAGGGCAGGGCAGCTCACCCCCTGCATCACAACCTCCTCAACTGAGAAAAAAAGAAGGGTAGTAGTCACTGGTGACTCCCTTCTGAGAGAAATGGACTGGACCCAATCCATAGGGAGGTGTGTTGCCTCCCTGGGGCCCAGGTAAGGGTCATCCCCAAGAAACTTCCTAGCCATTATTATTATTACCCACTACTGGTTTTCCAGGTGGATAACAACAAAGTTCTAGCAAAAAGTCTGTTGACAATCAATTGGGATCTCAGGGCCTTGGGACAACTGGTCAAGGGATCTGGAGCACAAGTCATGTTCTCTTCTGTCCTGCCAGTTGCAGAGAATGATGGGGCAAGAAACAGGAAAATCAGGCAGATGAACACCTGGCTTTGAAACTGGTGTTACCAGCACAGTTTTGAGGTTTTGATCGTGGGTTGGTTTATGTGACATCGAACCTGCTGGCAACACCTGCCCACCTGTTCTCAAAGGGGAAATCTTAACTTAGGAGTTAGCAGGACTCCTTAAGAGAGCTTTAAACTAGACTTGAAGGGGGGACAGGGGCATAGCTGGGCTTAACAGAGATAAAGAATGGGAAGGGGAGTACTGTAGCAACCACAGAATTAGCAAAAGGAGTCCTAAGGGGGGATACTCTGGGCAAACACAAGCAACCAAATACATAACCCAGGACAGGACTACGGGTTGTCCCTTTGCACCCCCCACTCAGATAGTGACATAAATCGAATACTTCTATATGGAAAATACTTCTAGGTAGAACCTGTACACCAGTGCAGTGTAGGAAACAAATAGGAGGAACTAGAGATCTGTGAGCAGCCACAGGGCTTTGATCTCACTGTGATTATGGAGATGTGGTAGGATAGCTGACATGACTGGAATGTTGTCATGAAGAGCCGCAAGCTGTTTAGGAAAGATGGACCAGGAAGGCACGGTGATGGAATAACCCTCTGTGTGAGGCAGCACTTGGAATGTATTGAACTCTATCTTGGGATGGGTGATGAGCAAATCAAGAGCTTATGCGTGAGGATAAAAGGGCAGACTAGTGAGGGTGGCATTGTGGGCGTTTGTTCCAAGCTGCTTGATCAGGAGGAGAAAGTGACTGAGGACTTCTACAGGCAGCTTGAAGCAGCCTCAAGGTCACAGTCACTGGTTCTTGTAGGGGATCTTAACCCTGACATCTGGATGAAACACAGCAAAGCACAAACAGTCCAGAAGGTTCCTGGAAAGCATTGATGACACCTCTCTGACACAGGTAGGGGAGGATCCCACAAGTAGCGCTGTGTTGTTCAGCCTCATACTAACAAACAGGGAAGGCCTTGCTGGAGATGTGAAGGTTGGAGGCAGCCTTGGCTGTAGTGACCATGAGCTTGTGGAGTTCAGTACTGGGCGAAGAGGAAGCAGGGCAGCAAGCAATCATGGACTTCGGGAGAGCTAGCTTTAGCTTCTTTAGGGATCTTCCTGAAAGTGTCCTGTGGGCCCAGCAGGATCCAGGGCAGCTGATTGATGTTCAAGGATTACTTCCTCCAGGCTTAAGAATGACACATCCTGATGAGCAAGAAATCAGGGAGGAGGAACATGAGACCCATGTGGATGAACAAGGAGCTCCTGTCACTGCTCAAGTGTAATCAGGAAATACACAGGATATGGAAGCAGGGTCAGGTCACTGGAATGAATGTAGAGAGGTTGTCAGAGTAGGTAGAAATGAGATAAGGAAGACCAAGGTCCATCTGGAGTTTAATCTGGCCAAGGATGTCAAGGTCAACAAGACAGGCTTCTTACATCATACATCAATGAGAAGGGGAGAACAGAGGATAACGTGGGCCCATCACTAAATGGACAGTGACACTGGTGACAGAGGATGCAGAGAAGGCAGAGTTACCGAACGCCTTCTTCGTGTTGGTCTTCACTGACAGGACCAGCCCTCAGGAATCTCTGACCCAGGAGACCAGGGTAGAGGAATGTTGAAAGGAGTTTCCTGTGGTCAAGGAGGATTGGGTTAGAGAACACCTACACAAACTTGGCATCCACAAATCCACGGGCCCTGATGGGATGCATCCCCGAGTGCTGAGAGAGCTGGCAGATACCACAGCGAGGCCACTCGTGATAACCTTTGAAAGGTCGTGGTGATCAGGAGAGGTGTCTGAGGACGGGAAGAAAGCAAGTGTCACCCTGGTCTTCAAGGAGGAAGGTGCAGAGGACTACTGACCACCTCAATCCCTGGAAAGGTGACGGAACACCTCATTTTGGAGGCCATCTCTACCTACATGGATGAAAAAAAGGTGATCATGAGTAGTCATCATGGATTCACTAACAGTAAATTGTTCTTAACAAACCCGATTACCTTCTACAATAGACAGCTACCTGGATGGATGAGAGGAGAGCAGTGGATATTGTTGACCTTGACTTCAGCAAGACTTTTGACTGTTTCTCACAACATCCTCTTAGGCAAACTCAGGAAGTGTGAACAGTATGAGAGGACAGTGAGGTGGATTGAGAACTGGCTGAACGCAGATCCCAGAATGTCATAATCAGTGGTACGGGGTCTTGTTGGAGGCCTGTCACTAGTGGTGTCCCCCAAGGTTCAATACTGGGCTGAGTATTGTTTAACTTGTTCATCAGTGACTTGGATGAAGAGGCAGATGCCTCCTCAGAAAGTTTGCTGGTGATACAAAGCTGGGAGGAGTGGCCAGTACCCCAGAGGGCTGTGCAGCCCTTTGGAAGGACCTCGGCAGGTTGGAGAGCTGGGCAGAGAATAACCTGAAATTCGAGTAAAGGCAAATGCAGGGTCCTGCACCTGGTTGGGGGCCAACGTGCTGGAGGCTGGAGCAGAGGACCTTCTGTGGTCCCTTTCAACCTGACCCATTCTGTGTGTCAGTGATCCTGTGAAACCTAAGGATAATGTATGTTAAATTACAGATTAAGTGTGTAGATAATGTGCATTTTTATCTTTTGCAAGATAAAAAAATAGATCTGTAACCACAGATTTTTCTCACGTGCTCATTTGGTGAATTCATTGGATTATTGACAGCCTAGCACACACTAATGTGATCCGGGTTTTTTTTGCCCAGAAAACATGAGAATGTCACTACATTTTGATGGATATTTGCTTTCGCTTTCTTAGTTTTTCAGACCTTGCTCTTCTAAAATAGCAGGTCACAGTTTTTAAGCTTACTAGTCCTTGTCCTTACCAGCTTTTTGGACTACATGCTGTGTTTTATTCAGAAGCTGCCTTTCACTGGTAATTAAGAGGCAAATGAATAAATAGGTGGTTTGAAAATAGCATAAATGCCAATTACACTTACTACTTAAAACTCAGGGTTTTTTTGTAGTGGAATTGCTTTTTTCAAATGGATTTGAAAAGTCTCTACACTTAACAAGGAAAAAATGTGCTGGTATAAACCAGCACATATGTACATCTACGCAGCTGTGTAAGGTGAGAAAATGTCTGAAGTGTGCAGAGATTTCAGACTGAAATAAGGATCTTCAAATACTCTCGCTGTTGTTTTTTAGTGGGCTAAAAAGAAGCATATTTGTGTGAATGAGTTGTGAAAAATCACTGAACAGCTTAAAAGATATAGGAATTTTTAAGTCAATTTAGTTTCTGAAATAAAGTTTCCATATCTCTTGAAGGAGTGTTTTTTATTAACATTCATTGTGCCATATAAATGGCATATTTGTATGGATATATTTATGGATCTAGATCTTGAATAGTATTAGCATAAATTTATTTTGGTTACATTAGTTGTTCGATCCTTGTATGGGAGAGTGACTTAAGGGTTCAACTTGATGATCAGTATAGGTCTCTTCTAACTCAGAATATTCTGTGAAATCTGTGAAATACAACTTTATTTTTATATTTTACATTAATTTAGTTTTTTAGCACAAGCTTTTTTGTTTGCTGAAGTCGATTTGGAGTTGTTTTAATTCAAGTATGAACCCTTCCTAGAGTTTTTGTATTGGAGAAAGCTCTCTCATGAAGTTGGCCAGTACCAGCCTTAGATTTTGACCTGTTTGGCAGAACTGGTTGGTCTTGACCTCTCTTGAAAGAGTGTGTGAAGTAAGTATTAGTAAATAACTCATCTTTTATTTATTTATTTATTTATTTATTCCAATTTTATTTTCTCTTTAGGGGGATCACTGAAGCTCGTTTTGTTTATGTCTTTGTTCTTGGCATAGTCTTCACTGGCACTAAAGATTTACTAAAGTCACAGGTTATTTCTGCAGACTCCAGCATGAAGAGCACAGGATTGTGGGAAGTATATAGCGGATTGGTTCTACTAGCAGCCCTTCTATTTAGACCTCACAATTTACCAGTCTTGGTGTTTTGCCTGCTGATTCAGACAATGATGACAAAATACATTTGGAGACCTTTGAAATTTGATGCGGCACAGATTACTATCATGCACTACTGGTTTGGCCAAGCTTTCTTCTATTTTCAGGTAAGCTGAATACTCTCCGTGCTGCAGAGGTGGGAGCTGGAATAGTTTTTCAAAGAAATATTGCCCATTGTAAATAAAATGCTACCTAAATATTAGGCTGGAAGAGTTTACTGAGTTCTCAGAAGGGTTTAATTTCTAATTGTTTTATTAATGTTTTGGTTTTAGAACCAGGAAAAGATGCATACCTTGATGTCTAATCCTCAAAACAGATTTCCAAAAGTGTTGCAAGGATCAGATACCTATACTAGCATGATTTTGGTCTGTTAATGGGCCTCATAAATACTACTCAGGTGATAATTAATTAAAAAATATCATCTGAGTTGATTAATACCGAGAAAAGGCAGATCGCTATTTGTCACTGATTCTTGAGCATTACAAGCCTTTGGTTGCATCAAAATAGATATACATACAGTTTAAGACTGTGGCATGTAGTATCTCTCATATCAGAACTAGTTTTCTTTGTTATTATATCAAATTGTATCTTCTCTCCTGAGGAGCCTTACTGATTTCAATAACATAGTTGTCTGCATCGCAAATAAAGTTGAAATTCCACAAAAACGTTCCTTAGCGTGGAAGGAAAGGAATTTTAGCATTGGACAGGATCTTTCTCCTTCTAGTAGCATTGGAAACAGTGTAGCAGGCTATCTAAAGTTAAGTTTGTGAGGTTGGGAATCAGGTTTTTTCTGGTTTAGGAGGAGAGGTTTTCTGATTTGTCACGAAAGTTCAAGGTGAGGCCTGTGTTGACTTTGCTTCTAAGGCATGGCTGGGGATGTTAAAACTGTGGTCAAGCTTAGGGTATGTCCTACTCCGTATCTACAGACTGAGGATTGGCTTGACTTTGCTCTGGGAGTACATGTGCAGATAGCATATTGCTGATGCAGGCAAGATCGTCGTGGTTCTTCCCTTCCTGCCCAGTTTTCCTGCTCAGAGGATGTAACATTTACTGATTGAATGGCTTTTGCACGCTTTGAGTGTTACTGTTCACCAGTCAGCTTTGATTATGGTCTTCTGAGAGCAGCTCTTGGTGTGGCTGGCAGGAGGCTGAAGAGAGGGCCCTCTCAGTACTGAGGTACCAAGTGAAAACAGCTGCCAGAAATTTAATGGTGGGTAGGCTGGGAAGGCCGGGAAAAAAATCCAAGTTATGGAAAAGGGACAATAAAGAATGTTATTAATATTTTTGTAAAGCAATCCATTTTCAGTGATGCTGAATTCTTGGTACACTTGGCTGAGAATTTCAAAGAACCGTGAAATTACAGGAGAGTTGAGGCTGGAAGATGCCTCTGGAGATCATTCAGTCCAACCTCCCTCCGTCTAAGAGCAGGTCAAATAGATCAGGTTGGTCTGGACTATGTCCACTCCCTATTTTAAATATCTGAAAGGATGAAGACTCTGCAAGCTCTCAGGGCAGTTGGTCCCAGTGCTTGACCAGCCTAGCTATTAAAAAAGCCTTTTTTGATGTTTAAACAGAGCTTCTTATATTTCAGTTTGTGTGTGTTGTTTTTTATCCTTTTGCTAGTCACTCTTGAGTGACTTAAAAGGTCAGAGTCTGACTGCATTTTCTGTACTACCCCCTCATCAGGTATTTATACACATTGTTATGATCCCTGCTGAGCTTTCTTCTCTTGAGAGTAAACATACCCAGCTCTTCTAAATAGTTGTTTGTATTACAGATGCTTTCTAACCATCATCAGTTTTGTGTAATGCTTCAGTGGACTTTTTCCAGTACACCCATGGCTTTCTTGTGGTGGCCAGCTCAGAACTGAACCCAGGCACTCATATGTGATATGGCTTAGTAGAAGGAATAGAGTATCTCCCTCAACCAGCTAGTGAGGCTCTCCCTAATGTAGTCTCAGGTGCTGTAGGTCTTTGCGCAAAGGGCAAATGACTGGGTGATCTCTTCCAGGTTTCTTTCCATACAGTTAGTTCCCAGTGTGAGGAAAGGCATAGTTTTATTCCTCCCCAAGTGTTGGATTTGATATTTCCCTTTGCTGAACTTCATGAATTTCCTGTCAGTCCATTTCTCTAGTCAGTCAGGGAGTCTCTGAGTGGCAGCAGGCCCATTTGCAGAGCCATCTGCTGTATCAACCACTCCTCCCAGTTATGTATTGTGTGCAGACTTCCTGAGGGGACACTGTGCCCCATTGTCCACGTAATTAGTGAAGATGTTAAACAGTATCAGCCCCACTGTCAGTCCTTGTGGTTCATTGCTAGTGATTGGCCTCCAAGTGGACTTCGTGCTGCTGATGGCAACCCTGTGAGCTCAGTATTTGATCAATTGGAAGTCCACCTGACTGTCCACTTTCCTAGCCTGGACTGCATCAGTTTGTCCATGGGGATGTGATGAGAGACGGTCTTAAAAGCTCTTGTGAGGGGAAAGTACATTAGATACATGTAGCCCATGTATGTGCAGCCATGGCATGATGGAATAGAAAATAAGGACTTCTTGAAAAAATAGTTTTGTTGTGGAAGTGTAATGTAGCAGGCTAAATTTTGTGTCTTCTCTGATCTAAGTGATGCCAAAAATTTGGGAATAACTTTTCTGGAAGAATTTCCTGAACTTTGGAACAGCTGTACACCTTTTCCAGAAATGAGCTATTAGAGCTGTCAGGAGCTTGATATGTCTTTCCAAATTTTCATCTTTGCATATGCCAAAGGAGTTTTTCTACACCAATAAAACTGTATTTATGCAAGACCAGTAGATGGTAACAGATCTGATAGCACATGCTATGGTTTTTTAGTGGTCTTATACTGGTGTTAGTGGGAAGATGGAAATTTATTTTAAGATTTTTATTTTTCATCATTAATACTTTGCACCTTCCAATGCCCTTGCAATTGAGGATTTCTTTGGTTTTTAGAAGGCAGAAAGAAGCGATTTTCATTTTGCTTGGCTACAGATTGTGTTCTTGGATATCCTGCAGCTTCAGAGCATCCTCCCAGGCCCCCTCACACTGTTGGAAATTTTGTCATTTCCTCTAGAAGTGTTTCCTTTGGAGATAATAACTTCCAGTGTGATACAGATTTCAGCAAACTTTGGGATGTTTTAAAAATTAGCTCTGACAAGGAAATTTCTTGCTCATAGTCTGCTGCTGAATTGCAGCATCCAAACCTCAGAAATGAGAAATTCTCCATTGCTTTGTTGCGAGCCAGATTTCTAGGTGGGTCTTTTTGCATCTCCTGTAAGACCTGGTGAATAACTTGGGTGATAGTTACTTATCAAAACTTCTGGTAGAAGCAGACCAAAGCTTTTGCCCCAGTGCTGTTTACCACGTTGGCTTATATGAAATAGAACAGACCCAGATAAGAAGCTGCCTTTTTGTGTCCCATCACATGCCTGTAAATTCCAGCTTTGAAGAGAGATTTGACATCATTGGCATAAGTGAAACCTGGTGGGATGAGACCTGTGACTGGAGTGCCCTGTTGGTTGGTTCCAGGCTCTTCAGGAGGGACAGGCAGGGCAGAAGAGGCAGAAGGGTGGCACTGTGTGTAGTAGAAAGGTCAGGATGATGGAGCTCACAGCTGGCAGTGGCACAGTTGGGAACCTCTGGGTAAGAATCAAGGGGCAAACAAATAATGCAAATGTCATTGTGGGAGTCTGCCACAGACCTCCCAGCCAGGATGCTGATGCTGATGAATTACTCTTTGAGGGACTAAGGGACACTTCCAAGTCAACTGCCCCTGTCCTTAGGGGGGACTTCAACTTGCCAGAAATTAACTGGGAGTGTCACACAGCTGGTACAACTAGTGGGATTCTGCAGGGCTCCATCTTAGGCCCTGTGCTCTTCAGCATCTTCATAAATGGTTTAAACGCAGGACTGGAAGGGATACTGAGCAAGTCTGCAGATGACACAAAACTGGGTGGAGCTGTTCACTCCCTTGGAGGCAGGGAGGCCCTGCAGAGAAACCTGGACAAATCAGGACTAGGCAATCACCAACCATATGAAGTTCAGTGAGGGGAAGTGCTGATTCTGCACCTGGGATGGGGCAACCCTGGATGTTTGTACAGACTGGGGAATGAGAGGCTGGAAAGCAGTGCCAGGAAAGGGACCTGGGGGTCCTGGTCTATGGCAAATTGAATCTGAGTCAGCAGTGCCCTGGCAGCCAGGAGGACCAACCCTGCATCACCAGCCGGTCGAGGGAGGGGATTGTCCTGCTCTGCTCTGACCTGGGGCAGTGTCACCTTTGAATATTGTGGCAGTTTTGGGCACTGCAATATAAGAAAGATATTAAGCCATTAGAGAGTGTCCAAAGGAGGGCAGTGAAGATGGTGAAGGGCCTTGAGGAGAAGCCATGTGAGGAGCAGCTGAGGGCACTTGGTGTGTTCAGCTGGAGAAGAGGAGACTGAGGAGAGAGCTCATTGCAGTTACAACTTCCTTGGGAGGGGAAGAGGAGGGGCAGGCACTGATCTCTTCTCTGTGGTGACCAGTGACAGGACCTGAGGGAATGGCCTGAAGTTGTGTCAGGGGAGGTTTAGGCTGATATTAGAAAAAGGTTCTTCCCCCAGAGAGTGGTTGGGCACTGAACAGGCTCCCCAGGGCAGTGATCACAGCACCAAGCCTGACAGAATTCAAGAGGTGTTTGGATGATACTCTCAGGCACATAGTGTGACTCTTGGGGATGGTTCTGTGCAGAGTTAAGGTTGGACTCGATGGTCCTTGTGGGTCCCTTCCAACTCAGTGTATTCTGTGACCTGTGTGATTAAGCAACAGCTTAGCAAAAATTCTGAAAAGTTCTTAACTCTCTTTAGCATAGGACTTTTTATAAATGTATCCATTTTAGAACATGCCAACAGTCTTTTACAAAAAATTACTTTTTGTGTCTGTCTACTAAGGTGTGTGTGTGTGCAGTCACCATTCCCAAGACTGATTAAAATGGCAAACAAATTGTAGTAGAAGAGAAAGAAGAATTGTGATTGGGGCCTACTTCTCTATTTTCTCTCTTTATTTCTCTTTTTTTTTTTCTATTTTCAGAACATCTTAGAGATGTTTCAGAAATAGAGAAAT